GGGCCAAGGGCACGCCCCTCCCATCTGGTGCCGCACCAAGGTGTTACCGTGACATGGCCATACTCTGGTAACCCATTGGTAACCCATTGGTAACCCATTGGTAACCCATTGGTAACCCATTGGTAACCCATTGGTAACCCATTGGTAACCCATTGGTAACCCATTTGTAACCCAGTGGCAACCCATTGGTAACCCATTTGTAACCCATTGGTAACCCATTGGTAACCCATTGGTAACCCATTTGTAACCCATTGGTAACCCATTGGTAACCCATTTGTAACCCATTGGTAACCCATTGGTAACCCATTGGTAACCCATTGGTAACCCATCTCTTCTCACCTGCTTGTCGTTGCCAGCTGTGAGAATCCGCGCCATGGCTCGCAGGGCAAACGGCAAGCCCCTCCCATCTGATGCTGCATTTTTGAGTCGACTCAAAAGTCAACCCGCAGGGTAAAGGGCAAGCCCCTCCCATCTGATGCTGCACCGTGGTGCTAAAGGTACATGGTAACCCACTGGTAACCCACTGGTAACCCACTGGTAACCCACTGGTAACCCACTGGTAACCCACTGGTAACCCACTGGTAACCCACTGGTAACCCACTGGTAACCCACTGGTAACCCACTGGTAACCCAATGGTAACCCACTGGTAACCCACTGGTAACCCATTGGTAACCCACTGGTAACCCACTGGTAACCCATTGGTAACCCATTGGTAACACACTGGTAACCCATTGGTAACACACTGGTAACCTGCTGGAAACCCGTCACCGCTCACCTGCTCGTCACTGGCAGCTGTGAGAATCCGCGCCATGGCTCGCAGGGCGAAGGGCAAACCCCTCCCATCTGAAGCAGGTGTGTCGATGCGCCTGGTGGGTGGAGAGGGAGGAGAGGCGGGCGGCTTTTAGATTCGACTCAAAGAACGAAGGGCGAAGGGCAAACCCCTGCCATCCGAGGCAGGTGTGTGGATACGCCTAGCAGGTGGGGGGGAGGAAGGGCAGGCGGGAGGCATTCAGAGTTAGGTCAGGAGATGATTTTTTAGTAAACATTCACTGCGCACACAGGAAGCGCTGCCGCTGGTGGAGTCACAACCGAGGCTATACACACCCACACTCGCACACCCACACTCACACACCCACACTGACACACGCACACTCACACACCCACACTTAGACACGCACACTCACACACCCACACTTACACACGCACACTCACACAACCACACTTACACACGCACACTCACACACCCACACTCACACACCCACACTCACACACCCACACTCACACCACCACTCACTCACAGTTACACTCACTTGAGCACAAAGCAGGCACCACTGGCAGAGTCACACGGCAGCAAGCAACTGCGCCTCCTTTTTTTTTTAGCCTGATTTTGAGAATTCCCAAAATCAGCCTAAAAAAAACACTGGCAGAGTCATATGGCAGCAACTGCGCTGCGCCTCCCCCAGACGAGAAGAGACCTTCGAGTTGGCTCTACTACATTGAAGGTTGTTTTTGAGAATTCTCGATGCTGCAGGGTGTTTTTGAGAATTCTCGATGCTGCAGGGTGTTTTTGAGAATTCTCGATGCTGCAGGGTGTTTTTGAGAATTCTCAAAAACGAGAAGAGACCTTCGAGTTGACTCTACTACATTGAAGGTTTCTATTAGGGACAGCCTGCGACTGACTGCTAAACAGATAGTGATGGCTTCTGCTGCAGCACGCCCACACACCCACTTGAGCACAAAACAGGCACCTCTGGCAGAGTCACAAGGCAGCAGCTGCACCTCCCCCAGAAGAGACCCCTGAGTCGACTCGACTCAGAATGGCCGTTTTGGTGCAGACAACAGCTACTGCTGTACAGGAAACAACGGCTTCCCTTTTTTCCCTTCAAGCACGAGTGAAGGTCGTTTGGGCTACGATGTCAGGAGTGGGATCTGAACCCACGCCCTTTCGGACCAGTACCTGAAACTGGCGCCTTGGACCAACTCGGCCATCCTGACACACTCCCACACACTTGCACTCACACTCGCATACACACTCAAAACACTTCAACTCACTCTCACATTCACACTCGGGCTCACACTCACACACTCACCCTCGGATTCATACTCGCACACTCACCCTCGGACTCATACTCACACACTCACACTCGCACTCACTTGAGCAGAAGGCAGGCACCAATGGCAGAGTCACACGGCAGCAGACACGCCTCCCCCCTTCTGACACAGTAATGGCTTGGCTTCTGACACAGACGGGCAACGACTGGTATTCATACAACAGCAACTGCTTCTGCTTGATCCACTCACGTGAGCACAAAGCAGGTACCACTAACAAACACAAGTCAGCAGCTGCGCCTCCACCAGAAGAGACCTTTGAGTCGGCAACGACTGGTATACAGACAGCAACAGCTTGCGCTGCTTCACACACTCACTCACTTGAGCACAAAGGAAGCGCCACTGGCAGAGTCACACGGCAGCAGACGCGCCTTCCCCCTTAAGTTGACTCTCTCTACAGTAATGGCTTGGCTTCTGACACAGACAGGCAACGACTGGTATTCACACAACAGCACCTGCTTCTGCTTGATCCACTCACTTGAGCACAAATCAGGCGCCACTGGCAGGGTCACACGGCAGCAGACGCGCCTCCACCAGAAGAGCCCTTTGAGTGAGCAACGACTGTTATACAGACAGCAACAGCTTGCGCTGCTTCGCACACCCACTCACTTGAGCACAAAGCAGGCGCCACTGGCAGAGTCACACGGCAGCAGACTTTTGAGTCGACTCAAAAGTCACCTCTGCTTCACACACTCACTCACTTGAGCACAAAGGAAGCGCCACTGGTAGAGTCACACGGCAGCAGCTGCGCCTCCACCAGAAGAAGCCTCTTGGCCTGGTTGAGTTGTGCATCATGGGGGGTGCTGCTGCTCGTTATAAGCACACACAGCTCCACCTGCTCGGGAAGGGGGACAGAGTAAAAGGCTGTGTCTTTGGAGGCGCCTCAACACGCAAACCTCGGCAGAAGGTGCCACTGGTAGAGTCACACGGCAGCGGCTGCGCCTCCACCAGAAGCCGCCTCTTCGCCTCGTTGAGTTGTGCATCGTGGGGAGTGGTGCTGCTCGTTACAAGCACACACAGGTCAACCTGCTTGGGAAAGAGGGCGGGAATGAGGCAGGGACAGCAATGGCGAGGATGTGATCTTGAAGTGAGAATCGCACGGGAGTGATATTTGAGTAACTTGAAAAGCGCCTCATCACACACGGGCAGGGACAGCAATGGCGAAAATGTGAACTCTCAACCTCATGGAGGCTGCGAATCGCATGGAACAATAGATTCGACCCAGAAAACCCAAAAATCGCTTCATCACACACGGGCTGGGCTGGGACTGCAATGGTGAGAGTCTCACATGAACTCAGTCTTATAGAATGGATGCTGAGTGTCTCATGGGAGTTCTACCTTTGAGGCGCCTCAAAAGTCGACTCAATCAATCTCATGGATGCTGGGAGTCTCCTGGGAGTTCTACCTCAGAACAAGAGAGGCTGAACCTCAAACCTGAATCCGACCACCCGAAATCTCCAACCCATGATGAAGAGTTTGGCCGATCATTTGGGAGAGGCAAGAGAGCAGATGAGGAATAGCGATGCAAGCGGCACGACAGCCACAGCCAGTCAGGAAGAAATGATTTTGAGAGTTGGTGCTCGTGATAAGCACAAAACAAAGTACCTGGGTGGTAATAAGGAGGTGTCATGCCATTGCCATGCCCTGCCTTGCCTCACTCACGCTGTCATGCGGGTTGTCGGGCACAGTGAGGCCAAAGTCAAGCGCCAACACACCGCTGGAGATTTTTGAGTCGACTGGACAGGTGACAGCAGGGAAGGGTCGTGCCCCGCTCACAGAGTCGTGCGGCACTCACGCTGTCGTGCGGCACTCACGCTGTCGTGCGGGTTGTCGGGCACAGTGAGGCCAAAGTCAAGCGCCAACACTCCACTGGGAAGGTGGGAACAGGGAAGTGTCATGCCATTGCCATGCCCTGCCATGCCTCACTCACGCTGTCATGCGGGTTGTCGGGCACAGTGAAGCCAAAGTCAAGAGCCAACACACCGCTGGACAGATCGCCATAGCTCACTAGCACCTGGGTGGGATGGGGATGGGAAGGGGGAATGGGAGGAGGAAGGGGATGGGGATGACGGAACTTATATTTGGAAATTCTCAAAAGTGGAATTCAGGGTCAAGAGTCAACATAGCCTTGGACAGATCAGGAACTGCATCCCTATCACCACGTCATACATTCAAACTGCTTATCATCTACTATCACTTGCTCGCCTTATCACCTACTCCCTTATCACCTGCTCCACTTATCACCTGCTCCCCTTATCACCTGCACCGCTTATCACCTGCATCGCTTATTACATGCTCCCCTTATCACCTGCTCCCCTTATCACATGCTCCCCTTATCACCTGCTCCCCTTATCACCTGCTCTCCCTATCACCTGCACCGCTTATCACCTGCTCTCCCTATCACCTGCACCGCTTATCACCTGCACCGCTTATCACCTGCTCCCCTTATCACCTGCACCGCTTATCACCTGCCCCCCTTATCACCTGCACCGCTTATCACCTGCTCCCCTTATCACCTGCACCGCTTATCACCTGCTCCCCTTATCACCTGCACCGCTTATCACCTGCTCCCCAGGTTCGTAGTCCGAGTCAGCTATGATCTGAAAATAACAGGGCAGGGAGAAAAGATGGTTCGGAAAGGGGTTTGGGAAGAGGGGCAGGGTGTGAGTGAGGGGTTGGGTGTTTGGTGTCAAGGTAGGTTGACAGGCTGCGCGAATGTGGTTTCAATGCAAGGCAAGATGTACTTTTAAGACGTCTCAAATGTGGTTTTCAGATGTAAGAGCTAAGACAACGAAAGAAACCTCAACAGCAGAAACGCGGTTCAGTGCAGCAGAAACGAGAGGCAAGTAGGGCGTCAAGGGCAAGCGGGCAAGAGGGCGAGCAAAATTACCTCGATTACTTGCTCTTCCTCGTCGTAGCACAGAAGAGTGTGCGAGTGGGGGTTGTGGTTTACCATATCCGCGTATGGCACCTGAAGGGTTTATGATGGGCGGTCAGGGGTGGAGGGGGGTGGGGTGATGCGGGTTGGTGGGGGTTGGTCAGGGGTGGTGAGCTGTGGTGAGGGACAGAGAGAGAGTGTGTGTGGGGGTTGTGGTTGATTGTGTCGGCAAATGGCACCTGAGGGGTAGTGAGGGGTGGTGAGGGGTGGCGGGGGGTGTTGGGGGTTGTGAGGGAGGAGAGAGAGTGTCTGTGGAGGGGTTGTGGATGACCATGCCCGAATCCAAGGTACCAACAACACCTGTGGAATTTGGAGGGTATTTCTGAAGTTTTTGAAATCACCCGGAAACAGCAGCAAGGCATCACTCACCAGAGCCAAATTGCCCAAAGCTTCGATCCTCCACGCCCGTGAACACACTGTGCTGTGGCAGTCAGGGGAGGGGAAGGGAGGGGAGGGGATGGACATGAGTGAGTGAGAGTGGAGGGTTGGGGAGGCACTAAAGAGGCTTCGATCCCCCACGCCCGTGAGCACACAGTGCTGCGGCAAGGGGGGAGAAGGGCGAAAGGCGGAGGGGAGGGGAGGGGAGGGGAGGGGAGGCGAGGAGAGGGACATGACTTAGGGAGAGGGGAGGTGGGAGGGCACTAAGAAGATTCGATCCCCTACATTCGCGAGCAGAGCAAACTGTGATGTGGTAGTTGGGGGATGGCGAGGAGGGGAACGGGAGGAGGGGATAGGAGGGAAGTAGGTGGGAGAGAGCAGATGAGGGAGGTGAGTGGGAGAGAGCAGATGAGGGAGGTGAGTGGGAGAGAGCAGATGAGGGAGGTGAGTGGGAGAGAGCAGATGAGGGAGGTGAGTGGGAGAGAGCAGAGGAGGGAGGTGAGTGGGAGAGAGCAGAGGAGGGAGGTGAGTGGGAGAGAGCAGATGAGGGAGGTGAGTGGGAGAGAGCAGAGGAGGGAGGTGAGTGGGAGAGAGCAGATGAGGGAGGTGAGTGGGAGAGAGCAGAGGAGGGAGGTGAGTGGGAGAGAGCAGAGGAGGGAGGTGAGTGGGAGAGAGCAGATGAGGGAGGTGAGTGGGAGAGAGCAGAGGAGGGAGGTGAGTGGGAGAGAGCAGATGAGGGAGGTGAGTGGGAGAGAGCAGATGAGGGAGGTGAGTGGGAGAGAGCAGAGGAGGGAGGTGAGTGGGAGAGAGCAGATGAGGGAGGTGAGTGGGAGAGAGCAGATGAGGGAGGTGAGTGGGAGAGAGCAGATGAGGGAGGTGAGTGGGAGAGAGCAGAGGAGGGAGGTGAGTGGGAGAGAGCAGAGGAGGGAGGTGAGTGGGAGAGAGCAGATGAGGGAGGTGAGTGGGAGAGAGCAGATGAGGGAGGTGAGTGGGAGAGAGCAGATGAGGGAGGTGAGTGGGAGAGAGCAGAGGAGGGAGGTGAGTGGGAGAGAGCAGATGAGGGAGGTGAGTGGGAGAGAGCAGATGAGGGAGGTGAGTGGGAGAGAGCAGAGGAGGGAGGTGAGTGGGAGAGAGCAGAGGAGGGAGGTGAGTGGGAGAGAGCAGAGGAGGGAGGTGAGTGGGAGAGAGCAGATGAGGGAGGTGAGTAGGAGAGAGCAGAGGAGGGAGGTGAGTGGGAGAGAGCAGAGGAGGGAGGTGAGTGGGAGAGAGCAGATGAGGGAGGTGAGTGGGAGAGAGCAGAGGAGGGAGGTGAGTGGGAGAGAGCAGAGGAGGGAGGTGAGTGGGAGAGAGCAGATGAGGGAGGTGAGTGGGAGAGAGCAGAGGAGGGAGGTGAGTGGGAGAGAGCAGAGGAGGGAGGTGAGTGGGAGAGAGCAGAGGAGGGAGGTGAGTGGGAGAGAGCAGAGGAGGGAGGTGAGTGGGAGAGAGCAGATGAGGGAGGTGAGTGGGAGAGAGCAGATGAGGGAGGTGAGTGGGAGAGAGCAGAGGAGGGAGGTGAGTGGGAGAGAGCAGATGAGGGAGGTGAGTGGGAGAGAGCAGATGAGGGAGGTGAGTGGGAGAGAGCAGATGAGGGAGGTGAGTGGGAGAGAGCAGAGGAGGGAGGTGAGTGGGAGAGAGCAGAGGAGGGAGGTGAGTGGGAGAGAGCAGATGAGGGAGGTGAGTGGGAGAGAGCAGATGAGGGAGGTGAGTGGGAGAGAGCAGATGAGGGAGGTGAGTGGGAGAGAGCAGAGGAGGGAGGTGAGTGGGAGAGAGCAGATGAGGGAGGTGAGTGGGAGAGAGCAGATGAGGGAGGTGAGTGGGAGAGAGCAGAGGAGGGAGGTGAGTGGGAGAGAGCAGAGGAGGGAGGTGAGTGGGAGAGAGCAGAGGAGGGAGGTGAGTGGGAGAGAGCAGATGAGGGAGGTGAGTGGGAGAGAGCAGAGGAGGGAGGTGAGTGGGAGAGAGCAGAGGAGGGAGGTGAGTGGGAGAGAGCAGATGAGGGAGGTGAGTGGGAGAGAGCAGAGGAGGGAGGTGAGTGGGAGAGAGCAGAGGAGGGAGGTGAGTGGGAGAGAGCAGATGAGGGAGGTGAGTGGGAGAGAGCAGAGGAGGGAGGTGAGTGGGAGAGAGCAGAGGAGGGAGGTGAGTGGGAGAGAGCAGATGAGGGAGGTGAGTGGGAGAGAGCAGATGAGGGAGGTGAGTGGGAGAGAGCAGATGAGGGAGGTGAGTGGGAGAGAGCAGAGGAGGGAGGTGAGTGGGAGAGAGCAGATGAGGGAGGTGAGTGGGAGAGAGCAGAGGAGGGAGGTGAGTGGGAGAGAGCAGAGGAGGGAGGTGAGAGGGAGAGAGCAGAGGAGGGAGGTGAGTGGGAGAGAGCAGAGGAGGGAGGTGAGTGGGAGAGAGCAGAGGAGGGAGGTGAGTGGGAGAGAGCAGATGAGGGAGGTGAGTGGGAGAGAGCAGATGAGGGAGGTGAGTGGGAGAGAGCAGATGAGGGAGGTGAGTGGGAGAGAGCAGATGAGGGAGGTGAGTGGGAGAGAGCAGAGGAGGGAGGTGAGTGGGAGAGAGCAGAGGAGGGAGGTGAGTGGGAGAGAGCAGATGAGGGAGGTGAGTGGGAGAGAGCAGATGAGGGAGGTGAGTGGGAGAGAGCAGATGAGGGAGGTGAGTGGGAGAGAGCAGAGGAGGGAGGTGAGTGGGAGAGAGCAGATGAGGGAGGTGAGTGGGAGAGAGCAGATGAGGGAGGTGAGTGGGAGAGAGCAGAGGAGGGAGGTGAGTGGGAGAGAGCAGAGGAGGGAGGTGAGTGGGAGAGAGCAGAGGAGGGAGGTGAGTGGGAGAGAGCAGATGAGGGAGGTGAGTGGGAGAGAGCAGAGGAGGGAGGTGAGTGGGAGAGAGCAGAGGAGGGAGGTGAGTGGGAGAGAGCAGATGAGGGAGGTGAGTGGGAGAGAGCAGAGGAGGGAGGTGAGTGGGAGAGAGCAGAGGAGGGAGGTGAGTGGGAGAGAGCAGATGAGGGAGGTGAGTGGGAGAGAGCAGAGGAGGGAGGTGAGTGGGAGAGAGCAGAGGAGGGAGGTGAGTGGGAGAGAGCAGAGGAGGGAGGTGAGTGGGAGAGAGCAGAGGAGGGAGGTGAGTGGGAGAGAGCAGATGAGGGAGGTGAGTGGGAGAGAGCAGATGAGGGAGGTGAGTGGGAGAGAGCAGAGGAGGGAGGTGAGTGGGAGAGAGCAGATGAGGGAGGTGAGTGGGAGAGAGCAGATGAGGGAGGTGAGTGGGAGAGAGCAGATGAGGGAGGTGAGTGGGAGAGAGCAGAGGAGGGAGGTGAGTGGGAGAGAGCAGAGGAGGGAGGTGAGTGGGAGAGAGCAGATGAGGGAGGTGAGTGGGAGAGAGCAGATGAGGGAGGTGAGTGGGAGAGAGCAGATGAGGGAGGTGAGTGGGAGAGAGCAGAGGAGGGAGGTGAGTGGGAGAGAGCAGATGAGGGAGGTGAGTGGGAGAGAGCAGATGAGGGAGGTGAGTGGGAGAGAGCAGAGGAGGGAGGTGAGTGGGAGAGAGCAGAGGAGGGAGGTGAGTGGGAGAGAGCAGAGGAGGGAGGTGAGTGGGAGAGAGCAGATGAGGGAGGTGAGTGGGAGAGAGCAGAGGAGGGAGGTGAGTGGGAGAGAGCAGAGGAGGGAGGTGAGTGGGAGAGAGCAGATGAGGGAGGTGAGTGGGAGAGAGCAGAGGAGGGAGGTGAGTGGGAGAGAGCAGAGGAGGGAGGTGAGTGGGAGAGAGCAGATGAGGGAGGTGAGTGGGAGAGAGCAGAGGAGGGAGGTGAGTGGGAGAGAGCAGAGGAGGGAGGTGAGTGGGAGAGAGCAGATGAGGGAGGTGAGTGGGAGAGAGCAGATGAGGGAGGTGAGTGGGAGAGAGCAGATGAGGGAGGTGAGTGGGAGAGAGCAGAGGAGGGAGGTGAGTGGGAGAGAGCAGATGAGGGAGGTGAGTGGGAGAGAGCAGAGGAGGGAGGTGAGTGGGAGAGAGCAGAGGAGGGAGGTGAGAGGGAGAGAGCAGAGGAGGGAGGTGAGTGGGAGAGAGCAGAGGAGGGAGGTGAGTGGGAGAGAGCAGAGGAGGGAGGTGAGTGGGAGAGAGCAGAGGAGGGAGGTGAGTGGGAGAGAGCAGATGAGGGAGGTGAGTGGGAGAGAGCAGATGAGGGAGGTGAGTGGGAGAGAGCAGATGAGGGAGGTGAGTGGGAGAGAGCAGATGAGGGAGGTGAGTGGGAGAGAGCAGATGAGGGAGGTGAGTGGGAGAGAGCAGATGAGGGAGGTGAGTGGGAGAGAGCAGAGGAGGGAGGTGAGTGGGAGAGAGCAGAGGAGGGAGGTGAGTGGGAGAGAGCAGATGAGGGAGGTGAGTGGGAGAGAGCAGAGGAGGGAGGTGAGTGGGAGAGAGCAGAGGAGGGAGGTGAGTGGGAGAGAGCAGAGGAGGGAGGTGAGTGGGAGAGAGCAGAGGAGGGAGGTGAGTGGGAGAGAGCAGATGAGGGAGGTGAGTGGGAGAGAGCAGATGAGGGAGGTGAGTGGGAGAGAGCAGAGGAGGGAGGTGAGTGGGAGAGAGCAGATGAGGGAGGTGAGTGGGAGAGAGCAGATGAGGGAGGTGAGTGGGAGAGAGCAGATGAGGGAGGTGAGTGGGAGAGAGCAGAGGAGGGAGGTGAGTGGGAGAGAGCAGAGGAGGGAGGTGAGTGGGAGAGAGCAGATGAGGGAGGTGAGTGGGAGAGAGCAGATGAGGGAGGTGAGTGGGAGAGAGCAGATGAGGGAGGTGAGTGGGAGAGAGCAGAGGAGGGAGGTGAGTGGGAGAGAGCAGATGAGGGAGGTGAGTGGGAGAGAGCAGATGAGGGAGGTGAGTGGGAGAGAGCAGAGGAGGGAGGTGAGTGGGAGAGAGCAGAGGAGGGAGGTGAGTGGGAGAGAGCAGAGGAGGGAGGTGAGTGGGAGAGAGCAGATGAGGGAGGTGAGTGGGAGAGAGCAGAGGAGGGAGGTGAGTGGGAGAGAGCAGAGGAGGGAGGTGAGTGGGAGAGAGCAGATGAGGGAGGTGAGTGGGAGAGAGCAGAGGAGGGAGGTGAGTGGGAGAGAGCAGAGGAGGGAGGTGAGTGGGAGAGAGCAGATGAGGGAGGTGAGTGGGAGAGAGCAGAGGAGGGAGGTGAGTGGGAGAGAGCAGAGGAGGGAGGTGAGTGGGAGAGAGCAGATGAGGGAGGTGAGTGGGAGAGAGCAGATGAGGGAGGTGAGTGGGAGAGAGCAGATGAGGGAGGTGAGTGGGAGAGAGCAGAGGAGGGAGGTGAGTGGGAGAGAGCAGATGAGGGAGGTGAGTGGGAGAGAGCAGAGGAGGGAGGTGAGTGGGAGAGAGCAGAGGAGGGAGGTGAGAGGGAGAGAGCAGAGGAGGGAGGTGAGTGGGAGAGAGCAGAGGAGGGAGGTGAGTGGGAGAGAGCAGAGGAGGGAGGTGAGTGGGAGAGAGCAGAGGAGGGAGGTGAGTGGGAGAGAGCAGATGAGGGAGGTGAGTGGGAGAGAGCAGATGAGGGAGGTGAGTGGGAGAGAGCAGATGAGGGAGGTGAGTGGGAGAGAGCAGAGGAGGGAGGTGAGTGGGAGAGAGCAGAGGAGGGAGGTGAGTGGGAGAGAGCAGATGAGGGAGGTGAGTGGGAGAGAGCAGATGAGGGAGGTGAGTGGGAGAGAGCAGAGGAGGGAGGTGAGTGGGAGAGAGCAGAGGAGGGAGGTGAGTGGGAGAGAGCAGAGGAGGGAGGTGAGTGGGAGAGAGCAGATGAGGGAGGTGAGTGGGAGAGAGCAGATGAGGGAGGTGAGTGGGAGAGAGCAGAGGAGGGAGGTGAGTGGGAGAGAGCAGATGAGGGAGGTGAGTGGGAGAGAGCAGAGGAGGGAGGTGAGTGGGAGAGAGCAGAGGAGGGAGGTGAGTGGGAGAGAGCAGATGAGGGAGGTGAGTGGGAGAGAGCAGATGAGGGAGGTGAGTGGGAGAGAGCAGAGGAGGGAGGTGAGTGGGAGAGAGCAGAGGAGGGAGGTGAGTGGGAGAGAGCAGATGAGGGAGGTGAGTGGGAGAGAGCAGATGAGGGAGGTGAGTGGGAGAGAGCAGATGAGGGAGGTGAGTGGGAGAGAGCAGAGGAGGGAGGTGAGTGGGAGAGAGCAGAGGAGGGAGGTGAGTGGGAGAGAGCAGATGAGGGAGGTGAGTGGGAGAGAGCAGATGAGGGAGGTGAGTGGGAGAGAGCAGAGGAGGGAGGTGAGTGGGAGAGAGCAGAGGAGGGAGGTGAGTGGGAGAGAGCAGATGAGGGAGGTGAGTGGGAGAGAGCAGATGAGGGAGGTGAGTGGGAGAGAGCAGAGGAGGGAGGTGAGTGGGAGAGAGCAGAGGAGGGAGGTGAGTGGGAGAGAGCAGATGAGGGAGGTGAGTGGGAGAGAGCAGATGAGGGAGGTGAGTGGGAGAGAGCAGATGAGGGAGGTGAGTGGGAGAGAGCAGAGGAGGGAGGTGAGTGGGAGAGAGCAGAGGAGGGAGGTGAGTGGGAGAGAGCAGATGAGGGAGGTGAGTGGGAGAGAGCAGATGAGGGAGGTGAGTGGGAGAGAGCAGATGAGGGAGGTGAGTGGGAGAGAGCAGAGGAGGGAGGTGAGTGGGAGAGAGCAGATGAGGGAGGTGAGTGGGAGAGAGCAGAGGAGGGAGGTGAGTGGGAGAGAGCAGATGAGGGAGGTGAGTGGGAGAGAGCAGATGAGGGAGGTGAGTGGGAGAGAGCAGAGGAGGGAGGTGAGTGGGAGAGAGCAGATGAGGGAGGTGAGTGGGAGAGAGCAGATGAGGGAGGTGAGTGGGAGAGAGCAGATGAGGGAGGTGAGTGGGAGAGAGCAGAGGAGGGAGGTGAGTGGGAGAGAGCAGATGAGGGAGGTGGGTGGGAGAGAGTGGGGAGGGGGGAGGGGGGAGGGGGAAGGGGGGAGGGGGGAGGGGCTTGGAGGAGAGGGAGAGGGAGAGGGCAAAGCGAGAATCGGTTATGAGCAAAGCGAAATTCATAATCAATTTCATACCAAGTGAGCAAGCACCTTAGCCTTAACTCTCATTGTGACATGACAGCTTCCCCACCCTGCCCAAGTCAAGGCAGGTTCGACTCACCTGCACCAGTCTGCACTGTGTGGGTGAATGAACGGTCCACATCCCGTACCTAGCGAGCAGGTGTGGTGTGGGTGCATGCTTCGTATCCCGTACCTAACGAGTAGGCATGGCAGAACTGGTCGTAGGTCAGGTTCGGGAGGAACGAGTGCAGGTGTGGGTAATCGGTGAGAACCTAGATTGGGGAATAGGGGGAGAGACGGGGCAGGTTTGGAAAGCAGGGAGTGGGAGGGCAGGAAGTGGGGGAGCAACAAGAGGGGGCCAGCAAGGAAGGGGCACCGGGGTGGGGACAGCAAGATGGGGGCAGCAAACGGGGGGCAGAAAACGGGGGGCAGCAACCGGGGGGCAGCAAACGGGGGGCAGCAACCGGGGGACAGCAAGCGGGGGGCAGCAAGCGGGGGACAGCAAGCGGGGGGCAGCAAGCGGGGGGCAGCAACCGGGGGGCAGCAAGCGGTGCCCAGCAAGAAGGAGGGGGAGGGAGAGAAGTGTGAGCGATATGCTACTGCGAGCAAGCAAGAAAGGGCATGCCGGGAAGAGCAAGTCGGCAAGGGCATTCAGCATTGTGTTACCGATTGGATGGTGGCAAACTCGGATTGAATGAGAGCCGTCCGATCTTGTGTGTCGTTGTACAGAGAGGGCAGCAGCATGGCCCTCTCGTGCTGCCCCCACCACACCTGATGGACGGGCGGGGTGGTGGTGGTGTGTTGGGAGGGGGAGAAACGAATGGTTAAGGCGCCCTCTCGTGTCCTTGTACAGGGATGGCAGCAGCATGGCCCTCTCGTGCTGCCCCCACCACACCTGATAAAGAGGGAGGGGGGAGGAAGGTGGGGGGGGGGGGGGGGGGGGCTGGTGTGTTATTTCGGGAGGGGAAGAAACGAATGTTCAAGGTGCTTTTAAGACCAGCAGCATAGCTCTCTCGTACTCTCCTAACCAGACTTGGTGGAGGCATAAAAGGAGGGGGGGGAGGGGGGTGTTGGGAGGGTTTTTGAGACGTCTCAAAAACACTCTTTCTTCACGCAGCATAGCCCTCTCGTGCTCTCCTAACCAGACCTGGTGGAGGGATAAAAGGAAGGGGGGGGAGGGGGGTGTTGGGAGGGGGAAAAACGAATATTTAAGGCGCCTAAAAGACATTTGTGGAAGGAGAGAAAGGGGGAGAGGAGAGAGGTGTTGAGTTGTTCACTCAACAGTCACACAGACCAGCTGTTCGGCTAAAGAGCACTGACCGTGGAATCAACGGCTGTGAATGGAGGGAGGGCGATGAGATGTACGGCTGCCAGCGCTCGTGCTGTTGTTGTTTGTCGATGCTCAGACGTTTGAGTCGACTCAACGGTCACACATAGCTGGGGGTTATGGTGCTTGAGAGAGCACTGACCGTGGAATCAACGGCCCTGAATGGCGGGAGGGACGAGATGTACGGCTGCCAGCGCTCGTGGCGTTGTTCGTGCCGGCTGTCGTGGTGGTCTTGGTGGTGCTTGTCGTCGTGTTGCTGTTGTTGTTGTTCTTGGTTTTGTTGTTGGTGTAGGTGTTGGGCGGAATGAGAGGGGGAGGGGCGGAGGAGGAGGAAGAGAGCGATGCGGGCCCACACGGAGAGTGAGGGAGGGAGGAGGGACGCGAGGGGGGGAGGAAGGGAGTCACCCGTTATCATCTGTTGGAAAGAGGGGTGGTGTGATGGGTTGGATAGGGGGCAGAACGGGGGAATGCATATGAGAAGTGGCAAGAGCGGAAGCGAGGGGAGGAGGAAGAGAGTCACCTGTTATCCTCTGTTGGAAAGACGGGTGGTGAGGTGATCAGGAGGGCAACGGGTGGTGAGGTGATCAGGAGGGCAACGGGTGGTGAGGTGATCAGGAGGGCAACGGGTGGTGAGGTGATCAGGAGGGCAACGGGTGGTGAGGTGATCAGGAGGGCAACGGGTGATGAGGTGATCAGGAGGGCAACGGATGTGTGCTAAAGAAAATATATCGACAAATAAAAGAAGACGGGAGGAGAATAAAGAGCGGGGCGAGAACGGATGCGAGGTAAGGGATGCTTTTGGCAATGGCTTGTACAAAGGACCGTTCCAGGCGTGATGCGAATAGGAGAAGTAAGGGAAGGACGAAGAGGAGAAGTAAGGGAAGGAGAGAGAAGGCATGAGGTAGTGAACAGTGAGGGGGGTGAGAATAGCCTTGCAAGGTTCTGGTTCTTAATAATTTTCCCAACAAAAGTCCATAATGACATAATATAGATGATAATTGAAAAAAGAAAAAAAAATATGACCACAACAGAAATTCTAGTAGAATCATTGTCAATAATAATCACGAAATGTTGGATTGGGTGTGTGTGAAGAAACACAGTAGAGGCGTTGGGAAGTGAAGGAAGCGGAGGAAGCGGAGGAAGCGGAGTAAGGGGAAGAAGGGGAGGAAACATATGAGAAATCTCAAGAGAGAGACACACAGCTGACCTGATCCCTGTGTACAGTGAGGAACACGTGTCCTTTCTCTATTGGCTGGGTAGCATACAGGCCCCTGCAGAGAGAAGGAGACAAAGATTGGATGGCGGGGAGTGGGGAAAGGAAGTGGGGATAAAGGTTGGGAGAGGCGGGGAGAGGGAAGGAGAGGGGTAAAGGGGGGGGGGGAGGTAGAGTTAGAGAAACGAATAAGGGGAGGTGGAAGGGGGAGTGAAGTGGGGGCAAGAGGGGGGTGATTGTGGGAAAGGCAGTGCGAGACAATGGTGGGAAACAGAAAGGCTATTCATTGCTGCTGTGGGCTACTCATTCTCCCAGTCCCTCCCCCACTCCTCCCCCGCTCATTCGGCCGCTCACTGCCCACGCTTACCGTCCTCCTCCGCCCGTCTTCCCCCATTCTCCATTCTCCCGATCCCTCCCCCTTACCCCTCCCCTCCCCCTTCCCCCTTCCCCCTCCCCTCCTCCCCCCTCCCCTCCCCCTTCCCCCTTCCCCCTTTCCCCCTCTTCCCTGAGTTTACCGCCCTCCGCCCGTCTTCCCCCATCCTCCATTCTTTCCATCCCTCTCCCCTACCCCTCCCCTCCCTCCTTGCGCTTACCGCCCTCCGCCCGTCGTCCCCCCATCGCGCACTTCTACTGGGCAGCTCTCTGCGGCGTCCCCCAATGTGAGCCGCTTCAGCGCTTGCCACGTGTCATCCTGGAATTGCGTAACCGAACGACACGATTTATGCAAAAAAATAACGCACGAGCCGTTGAGAATTCGAGGGCCACGTGTCAAACAGAGGTTACGGAAAGGATGAGGCGAAACTGAACCTCGGAACAGACAAAAAAACCCGCCTGTGCTACCCACCTGTACGGTCAGCTCCTCTGAACATGATATTTTTCCGGCTGCCCGGTCCTGCGCTAACGACGAGGTTACTTCGAAACGAATTGCCTGCCCGAGGCAATCCAAAGGACGAGCCTTCGCGACTCGTGTAGCGGCTCGAGCGCGGATAGGCTGGCAATGGCGGAGATTTGCGAAGTCAAACACGTGGCGACTGACGATTCGCCTAGAGGAACCAGGGATCGCGGAGAGGAAATGACACACAGCCGCCATGTCAGCAGCTCAGCTGCTGACACGTGATGACGCGTGCCGACACGTGATAGCTTGGACGAATGCCGAACGTCACCGAAAATACTCGGTCAGAGGAGGGTGAATGCGGTTCGAGACAACTAGTCGTAGTGATGCGACAGCAGCTCATCCTCGAGATTGGTGTTTGTGTCAGACGGAGGTGAACGCGGGAAGTTTCGATATAAGCTGCACGCCGAAGATTTGTACTGTGCCTCTTTGTCGGGGTTACGTAAAATATCTAGGTGTGAAGCTGATAACGTTACAGGTTCTAGAACATCCGTCGTCAATTATATGGCATCTGAAAGCTTAAAGCCGGCGGCCCAAATTGTTCATGCTTTTAAAAGTTGACCAGAGGGAGTTTTTCTGGTGTGGGCTTTGGCAAGAGTTTCCGATTTCGTCTAGGTTCGTTTTTTTCGCGAGACCCAGCCAACCCTCGGTTTTCCCCCTGGTGAGTGAATCTGTCTTCGAAAGTCCCAAATTGCAAGTGCGTGACTTCCAAAAGCTTAGACACTCAACTTCGTCAAGTTTTCAAGTTTTAAAAACTTGACCCTCGCGGCCCGCAATTTGGGACGCGGGCTTTAAACTACACCCCACCCCCCCCCTCCCCCCCCCAACCCAACCCCGCCCCTTCCCCCCTAATAAAAAACCCACCCAGCCCCCCTCTCCTCCTCCCTCCCCTGTGTCTAGTTATTAAAAAAAACCTACACAGGCGACCCCTTTTCAATGTCTCCAGCTAGTGCAAAAACAGAGTCAGCTTCTGCTGCACTCTCCTTGTCCCCATCCGCTGTCCTTACAGTATCCCCAACTGTTATCCTCTCAATATCCCCAGCTAATACCCTTTCAATATTCCCAACTTCTGCTGCAATTTCAATCTCCCCTACTGCTACCCTTTCAACAACAGCACCTGCTCCCCTTTCAATATCCCCAGCTGCTGCCGCTTCAACATCACTAACTGCTGCTATTTCACTATCCGCAATCGCTAACATTACAACATCCACACCTGCTGCTATATCGATATCGCCAACTGCTGCCCTTTCACTATCCTCGCCTTCTGCTGCACTTATATCCCCAACTGCTGCCGCTTCAATATCCCCAATTGCTGCCGCTTCAATATCCCCAATCGCTACCCAGTCAACATCCACATCATCGATATCCCCAACTGCCGCCCTTTCACTATCTTCAATTGCTGCTATTTAGCTATCCCCAGCTGCTGCCGCTTCAACATACGCAACTGTTGCCCTTTCAACATCCACACCTGCTGCCATATCAATATCCCCAACTTCTGCCCTTTCAATACCTTCATCTGACGGCGTCTCAGTGTTTCCTCGTGCCACCCTGTCAATGCGTACAATCAAGTTCCTCACATCGCCACTGAACACCGTTTGAATCCCTCCTCTTTTATCACTCTCAACAGACGTCCTCTCAACGCTTACAACTGACTTCTCCCCACTGTCTCCCGTGAACACCGTTTGAACGCTTTTTCTTCCTTCACTCTCAGAAGTTGCCCTTTCAGAACTCCCAGACGAGCTCTTTCCACCACCTCTGGTGGTGGCAACCCTTCTAACGCTTTTCTTTCCCAAGGCAGGTACAACTGGTGGAGGGCGCAGCCTGTAGAGGCAAATCGCGAAATACCTGCAAGCACATGCGGTGGTGCCATGGGGAGGGAGGGGAGAAGGCGGCACGGGAATAGGGAGAAACAGGGGGTAGTCACTTGGAAAGAGAGGCAGGCAGGTACACCTGGTGCAGGTAGCTTACAGAGACAGATGGCAAACAATATGAGAGAACATGGCGCATTCAATCGAGAGTCGACACATCCTACTCACCAATAGGCAGTCCCAAAGGAGAGCGCTGCGAGCAAGGCCATAAGGGTGCAGCCCATCAGGCATTAGAAGTGCTCTGCAGCGCTGTGCGGTGCTGTGCTGTGCTGTGCGGTGCTGTGCTGTGCTGGGCGTTACACCGAGCATCACATCTCACTCACCAGAAGAGCTGTGCATGACCGTGCGGTGTAAAGGGAACAACTCACCAGCAGGCAGCCCCAAAGGAGAACGCCGTGAGCAACGTCAGCAGGTCACTGGCGCGTCCCATCAGGCACTACAATTGCCGTGCTGTGCTGTGCTGTGCTGTGCGGTGCGGTGTAGTGCTGTGATGTGCTGTGCGTTACAAAGAGCATCGCACTCACCAGCAGGCAGACCCGAAGGAGAGCGCTGTGAGCAACGCCAGCAGGTCACTGGCGCGCCCCATCAGGCAAGAAGACAAATTTCGCCGACCCGGGGACCATGGCGCGGTGCCAAGGGTTGCCATCGCAAGTTGTGGCATGGGAAGATGAGGTGGCATGAGAAGGAGCGGCCTGCAACGGGGCAGGGCAGCATGGGAAGGGGTTAAGAGCGGTTTTGAGACGTCTTGAAGGAATTGAGCTGGCCCCAAGACCATGGCTCCGTGCCAAGGGGTGCCATCGCAAGGTGTGGCATGGGAAGAGGAGGCGGCATGAGAAAGAGCGGCCTGTGACGGGGTGGCATGGGATGGGGCGACATGGGAAGGGGCGGCAAAAGGGCGGCATGCGAAGGAGAAGCATTACAAGGGGTATGGGAAGCATGTGTCATTGCATGTGCTAGAACCAGGCAAGATGTTTTCGGGTGAATAGGCTGGCTGAACAACACAGGGCGAATGGTTTACAGGCGTGGCGACGGTGGCGTGTGGGGCACATAGACAGCCTGCTGTGCCGAGCCTATCATCCATACTCGACATGCACACAGCGGCACCCAGCAGCACCCAGCAGCACCCATTACACCACATACCGAGTTGACTTTTGAGTCGACTCAAAAGTCGTGTGGGGCACAGAGACAGCCTGCTGTGCCAAGCCTATCATCCATACTCGACATGCACCCAGCAGCACCCATAACACCAAATACCCGCTGCAGTCAAGCCCGTACGAGTCAGTGGCCTATACATGGCAGCACCCAGCAGCACCCAGCAGCACCCAGCAGCACCCAGCAGCACCCAGCAGCAGCACGTACCCGCTGCAGTTGAGCCCATACGAGTCAGTGATTGCGGTGGCCCGTGCACTGGCTGCTGCGAGCACCACGAGTGTGAAGAACTGTAGAGGCACGAGGGACGAGCAGGGAAGGCAGCAAGAGCAGGCATCAAGGGAGGACAGTAGCGATTTGAGAACTCAAAGGATGGTGGCCCGTGCACTGGCTGCTGCTAGCACCACGAGTGTGAAGAACTGTGGAGGGGCGAGCAGGAGGGGGCAGTGGGAGCAGCAGGAGGCAGTAGGAGAAGGAGCAAGAATAATAAAATAGTATACCATTGGTATTGCAACTCATGTGAAAACGAGATGCAAGCATGGATTCACGTTGTTCGCGATGATCTGCAGCAGCAGGTTCACCCTGGTCGTGTGGAGGCAGTCAAAGCAGACAACATATATTGTTAAAGTCGACTCGTGTAAATTAATTGCATGCATGGACTCACGTTGCTCTCAATTACCTGCAGCAGCAGGTTCACCCTGGTCGTGTGGAGGTAGACGAAGCAGACAATATGCATACAATCGGAGTCAACTCGTCCTGTAAACTAAAAATGCATGCACGGACTCACGTTGCTTTCAACGACCTGCAGCAGCAGGTTCGCCCTGGTAGTGTGGAGGTAGACAAAGCAGGAGGTGGGAATGTAACACAGTAACATGGCGCTCGCGAACAGCCCCGCCATTCCCAGGGTGAGGTTGAGCAGAAGCGTTGGCGCCTGGCTCATTCGGTCGTCCAGCTTCACTGACAGCCTGATGCGGACGGGTGAGGAGGGGTGAAGAGGGGTGAGGAAGGGTGCAGAGGGGTGATGAGGGGTGAGGAGGCGCTCGAAAACAACCCCGCCATTCCTAGGGTGAGGTTGAGCAGAAGGGTTGGCGCTTGGCTCATTCGGTCGTCCAGCTTCACTGACAGCCTGATGCGGACGGGAGAGGAGGGGTGAAGAGGGGTGTGGAGGTGTGGGGGGGTGTGAAGAGGTGTGAGGAGGTGTGAGGGGATAGGTGGGTGAGGTGCGGGATTGGGGAGCATTCAGCCAAGTGGACCGAGCGAGCAGCATCCAGAGTCTGTGAATAATCTGGTTTGAAGATTCTGAGACGTCTCAGTGCTTCTCTTGAACGATAGCCAATAGGAGGAACAGACAGGTGAGTGAGGCGCGAGGGTGGGTGTGCAGCAAGTCAATGAAAAATGGGAATTCGAAAGGAATTAGAGCAAGAAGAACGTGCGATAATCCAGACGCTGACCCAGATAGGTGCTGTAAACGGAGGTGACGGGAGTTGCTAACTTGAAGAGATGACGCTGGTCGAGTGAGGAGGAGAGGAAACAGTAAGCAAGGAAAACCAGGTTTGGAGTCTTGAAGTCTTCACCCTATGGAGCCAACCGCGAAAGCGATTTCCGCGATTCGCAGGCTGACGGGAATGATCTTCGATGGCGGATCCATGACGACGCGCCGTCCGTTTGATAACGGAAAGCCGATGGCGGTGCGTCTTGCGTTTGTGAACGATGCCTCGTTTATTTCACGCTGCGTCGTCTTCTTCCTGACGCTGGCACTCTCCCTGACGCTGTGCCTCTTCCTGACGTTCCGTAGCCTGCTCCGCAAGATGATTCCCCTCCCCCCGAATTTCACGCTGCCATTTAGAATGCATTCATTGGTCAACGCAAGGGTCTAGTAATCGTTGGCTCCAGCGCCGTAATTGGTGCTCAAAAGTTGCTAGCGACCAATGTCTGTCTGCAATCAGAGCTCTCAAGTGGCGACCGGCGTGCTGTCATGCTGCATGGATGAAGTTGCACGAAGTAGCACGACGTCGCATGAAAGAAGACCCCGCGGGCCCGTAAGGGAGCTAAGAAGGCGTCATCGTGTCATTGTTTGTGCTGTTGGAAGATACAGTAGATTCTGGTAGAGGCGGAATTCCCGGTTACTATCAGTGGAGAACGGTCTAAACCGCAAGGTACAAGCGGGTACGGGGGAATAACACTGGAGGAAAGTTGAACAGGATGCTCGGTGATGATGGAAACACCGTGGAGCTATCACTGCGGAAGGAGAGTGTGCGGCTACCATGGCGGCCATTTCAAGTTGCTTGTCCCACAAGGCTTGTGCGCGAGCAGCGAGACTCAAAACCCAGGACGAAGATCGTGAATGCATTATATCCCGCCCCGAACGCGAAATGAGCGGAGGGAGGATTGGTGCAGTAGGACAGCGTTAGAGAAGGGTCAAGCGGAACTTGAATTATAGGAGCCTCAAACGCTGACATGTACAGGAGTGGAAGGGGTGGGGTGGGGTGGGGGTGAGGTGAGAGAACCCGGTAAAATCAAGGGGTGCGGACTGCGGAGCGGAGTGGGGGAGAAATCGTGATACGGTGCAGTGCGTTACGCTACGTTAATTTACTATGAGATGTGGCTTTTCTCACACAGAACAGAACTGTGTTTTGCTGTACAGTCTGTCTGGTGGTGAGGCTGCTGGTTGGTTTGGTTAGGGGCTGCTGCTAAATAGAGTGGCACGATACATGCAAAATACGTTTACGGTACAGTACCTGAAAACCTGAATACATATGCCAGGTGTTGGAATTTGCTAGTGAAGCAACCAGTTATTTATCTGCTGTCGGTGAAAGGAGGTTATCCGAGTGCTACAAGCTATTGAGGTAATGAGGAAGTTAACTCTGCTACAATCTTGGTTGAGGCAGTGTCAAACATGGGTAGAAAAAACCATGCACAGGCTAAAAGCACCTTAGACTGAGACACAAGGCTATACAGACTGGCAAGCGCATGCCAGATATATCCTAAGCAAATACTGAACGCAGTTCACGTGGAACCCACTATACAGGTGAAAGGCTGGGGAAAAATGATGACGCAACTCCGAGCTTGACCACAGTTGTCTGGCGTCACCTCAGCTCTGAAGTCTGCAACGAGTTATATCTCGCGAAGCCTGGAAAATTTCGCGGACGCCCATTCGGCGCAAAACCTACATCGTATGAGCTTTGACTAGTAATCTTGCTGAGCGTAGCCGTCAGCGTCAAAACCTGAAAAGAAAAAGGGGGAGAAAAGGAACCTGGTAATGTTATCCACGAACATTGAGAAGCATGAGGATCGCTTCGGCATACATATTGGTATCAACAGTAGTAAGCCTTGAAAATCTACTTACTGTGTATTTGTTGGAGGCCAGCAGCAACCACCACCACCACGGCGCACCATGACGAGAACACGATGGCTCCCACAGCAGCCACACACTTCACGAGCACTACCCCTGGAACGACGCCTCCTAACACCATTGCTCCGACATCCCACATCTGACCGGACTCGAAAACAGAGCTCTTCTTGCTCGTGCTGAAAGGCTGGAGTGTCGAAACTGGCTCCATTCTGGCAGGTTCGATACAGCTCTAGAGAAGCGAAAAATAATAAGAAGACGTGACGAAATTGGAGCAGAGTACGTGTCAACACTCCTCAAATCCTAATAGGGACGCCATTGAAAGCAGCTAGATCTGTGTGACTGGACCTATTGCATCCTGAGGCGCCGTGAGTTGAGGAAAGAGCGAGCCTTCGACTTGCTAGGGTTGGAAGCGCAGCTTTCAGCTTGTGGAAGTGGATCAATGGTGTCAATCAGAAACGAAGGTTGTGTAGATTGCTCTGTTTCGAGATGGATTGAAGTGAGGTGTTTTGACAAAGCTACTTGTGTGAGTTCGTCTGTGATGGGAATGGAAGTTGATGGAAGAGAAGGCTGCCCGCCGGTCCAAGGCTGGACGTGGTATGGCTTGAAAGTTTGGAAACAGTATGTTTCTGTGTGGTGGAATCAGCAAGCCTCAACAAACTAGCCTAGGAAAATGTTTGAAACGCGGCGCGGGTCTGAATGGTGAGTGGGCTGCAGTCAAATGTGTGTGACACGTGACGCGACACGGTTGTGTTACCGAAGGTTCAAACTCGCTGATGTCACGGCTCGGGTCTTCCTGAATTACCGGCGCAGATTCAGTAATTCAGCCCAAGCTGTCAGAATCAGCTGCCAACGGGGTTGTGATGAAGTCATGAGTGGACGGCATACACGTGAGAAGCGCCAACTGGAGAATTCAAATCTTCACCACATACAGCAGGAGCCACGTCAACTAGGACAATTGTGACGTGCTGTTGCGAGTGATGTTGGGCCGGGTTCAGTCGATTGATGGCCTGGGCTGGGCAGGGCCGCTGTTGGATTGGAACCCTCCCCCTCTCGTGAAAAGGACCCCGCTAAGAAAAGAAGCCTGCTTTGCTGAATCATATGATAAACGGCGCAATAAGTTCGAAGGCACGTGTGGAGGGAGGGGGTTTCACAAAATAATTTCCACTTAAAAGGATCAAAGCACTAAGAAGGCCATCAATCAAGCGCCACTCTCCATTTATGGACTGTAAGTAAACGGCATGTCCTTTGGGCCTAGACCCCTAATTCGGTGCCTCTTTCGACCAACAATAAACCGCCATGTGTCATATTCATCCGCAGGTTCAAGGTCAACGGGTTGAGGCACTCTCCAGCCAATGGGGTACATGTGTTGTCGATTCGCCTCCACATGAAGGTGCCACACCAGCACTTGCGTGCATCCGTTTGCTAGCGGCTCCAAGTGACTCGCATCTGGAACCAACCGGCTCAAAAACGTCGCTTCCAATTGGCTGCTTATATGGTCAGTATAAAGAATCACAACCAAGAAGCAGAGTAACAAGACAGGAACATTAGGTTCGTCTGACAAGGTGCAAACCCACAAGCGGCACATTTGGACAGGTGGAACATAACAGCAGGGGCAGGGAGGGAAGGACAGGGAGGAGGTGGGGGAGGGGGCACGAAGGGGACAATAGTCATGTACTATTCATGCCAGCAGGAAGGGGATGCGGAGGGGGGACGAAGGTGGCAGGGCAGGGGGCAGGGAGGAGGCAAGGCAGGGGGCAATGCAGGGGGCAGGGAGGGGGCAGGGAAAGGGCAGGGCAGGGGGCAGGGAGGGGGCAACAAGCATGTACTACTCATGGGGGCGACTGACCCTTGCCAGCTGGCTTCGAAGCGGAGCGGGTGGTGCGGGTAGCCCGGCAGGTCCGTACGGTTCTGCCAGAGCAGCTCAGAGCTGGGGAGACAGGGAAAGAGGGAATCAGAGGGGGGGGGTGGGGGGAAGGGGGGGGTAGTATAAGGGAAAATGATACACAGGGTGGTGCGGGTAGCCCAGAAGGTCTGTGCGGTTCTGCCAGAGCAGCTCAGAGCTGCAAAGTCCATGCAATAAGGGAGGAGGAGGAAGGGACGGGGGGAAGAGAGGGAGAAGAAAAAAGAAGGATCACTTTTGAGAATCCTCAAAAGTGGCACCAGCAATGCGTGGTGGGAGTGTGTCAGCGTTGAACTTCCCTTGGCCTTTCAGATGATCCACTCAAATGCCTAAAAAAAAAGACTCACCGGAACGCAACCCCCCCCATGTCAGCGTTGAACTTCCGCTTGGCCTTGGAGATGAACCACTCAAACGTCTCCCACCCATACACCTGCAGGGCCCACCTCTCCATCCCCATCCATCCCCATTATAAGCAGCATCTCTACCATTTATAAAGCTCACCGAAACGCGAATCCCCCCATGTCAACGTTGAACTTCCGCTTGGCCTGTGAGATAAACCATTCAAACGTCTCCCACCCGTACACCTGCAGGCCCCCGCTCTCCGTCCTCTTTACAAGCGGCCTCTCTACCGTCGGCGTGTGGTGTATATGCCGGTTCCGCCTCGAGTATTCGTCCGGGTAGAGGAAGCCGACGGGGAAAACACCCACGTTCTGGATGCTCTGGAACTCGAGGAATAGCTGGGCTTGACATAACGCAAAAGGGTGGAAACAAACGCGTGAACAGAATTACGAGGGAGGCGGAACTGAGTGAATGAGTAATGTTCCTCGAACAGAAGAATGGTGTTCTGAGAAAGAATAAAACCAGGCCGAACTCAACTAGCAGCACAATGAGAAACCTACATTTATTTCAAAACAAAGAAATAGTGTTGGTGATATTAATAACGAAAGTAGTCATCTCAGGTTAATAAAATAGTTATATTAGTTAGGGAGGACTATTATTCTAAACGATTGTACCCAGTGAGGGCTGTACTCCTCCTATCCTCTTGGAAACATGGAATCACTGACTCTGCAATAGCCAATTCGAAGTCCACCCAATTCTCATTACAGTCACTTCACCTTACACTCACTACACATTACAGCTACTTTGCATTACAGCCACACCTGAGGGAGGTATGCGTTGTCATCATCCATAAAGTAAACGACGCCCTGAATGCGCCTCTCCTGAATGAAGTCGAGCGCAGCGTTGCGCTGCAGCACTGCCTTGTTCCACTTGGACGTCTCCACCTGATGGTGATGCATGCATGGCATCGCATGATGAGAACGCAGAATGAAAGCACAAGGGAAGCTTAAATGCTGCAGCACTGCCTTGTTCCACTTGGACGTCTCCACCTGATGGTGATGCATGCATGGCATCGCATGATGAGAACGCAGAATGAAAGCACAAGGGAAGCTTAAATGCTGCAGCACTGCCTTGTTCCACTTTGACGTCTCCACCTGATGGTGATGCATGCATGGCATCGCATGATGAGAACGCAGAGTGAAAGCACAAGGGAAGCTTAAATGCTGCAGCACTGCCTTGTTCCACTTTGACGTCTCCACCTGATGGTGATGCATGCATGGCATCGCATGATGAGAACGCAGAATGAAAGCACAAGGGAAGCTTAAATGCTGCAGCACTGCCTTGTTCCACTTGGACGTCTCCACCTGATGGTGATGGTGCGTGCATGGAGTGATAAGCAAGTGAGAATCACTGACATGCAGTGAGTGCATAGAGAGGTCGTTGACAATGCTGCAGCACTGCCTTGTTCCACTTGGACGTCTCCACCTGATGGTGCATGGAATGGAAGGATGATAAACAGCTGGTGGCTATGAGTAAGAGACAATAGGGATCATGCAGCAAGAATGAAATCGAGCGCAGCGTTGCGCTGCAGCACTGCCTTGTTCCACTTGGACGTCTCCTGGTGCGTGCGTGGCATAGCATGGCATGGAATGATGATAGGCATGCATAGAGTGATGAGCACGTGAGAATGGAAGCATTCAGAGATCGCGAACAATGCTGTAGCGCTGCCTTGTTCCACTTCGACGTCTTCACCTGATGGTGCATGGGATGGAATGAAATGGAATAGAATGGAATGAAATGGAATAGAATGGAATGAAATGGGATGGGATAGAATGGTGACAGGAATGCATGCAGTGTTGAGCACATAAAAAAGACGCATCAGGAGATCGTTGGCGATGCTGCATCACTACCTTGTTCCACTTGGATGTCTCAACTCAATTTGATGGTGCATGGTGCGAAATTATAACATGTATGCATGCAGTGATGAGCACGTGAGAATGACAGCATACATGAATCGTTGATGCTGATACATGCATACCTATCATAATTTTGCACCATGGACCATCGTAGATCGATAATGCTGACGATAAAGCATGTAATCATCATGATAAACAGGCAGCATCGACATATTATTATTTTCTTCGAAAAAACGAAATGCGTCTGTGCATGCACGTCCAGAATTATTCTCTTCAGATACAAGATTCATCGATTAACAACGAAGGAAGAAAAACAGCACAGCAACCCGGAAAACGAAACAGCAAACGAAACAACAATTTAAACGCATCTCACCCGGCGGGTCTCCAGGTGGACGTAGTTGATTCGCCGACAGCTGGCGTCGCCAGCTGGCAGACACGCCCCCGCATGCTGCTTCAGCAGCTCCGCCGTCTCCTCTGTCTTCCCGGGGAGGCATGGGAGAAGGGGTTCGACAGGGGTGGAGGGGTTGAATAGGGTTCACGAGGGAAGACAGGGGTGGAGAGGTTTTCAAGGGGAGTTGAGAGGGCGGACAGGGGTCGACATGGGTGGAGTGGAGAGGTGGAGTCGTCAGCTGGCAGGCACGCCCCCCCATGCTGCCTCAGCAGCTCCGCCGTCTCCTCTGTCTTCCCAGGGAGGCATGGGGGCGGGTGGAGAGGGGTGGAAAGGGTCTGAAAGGGGGTTGAGAGGGTGGACACAGGGGTCGACAGGGGTGGAGAGGATGAGGAAGAGCAACAAGAACGCTCCTTATTCCTTTCAGCATCACACATCAAGAGCTGCACTGCACACCTTGCTTGTCTGGAAACCCCTTACAAGTTTTTGCCTTCAAGGGTTCAGAGTAAGAACTGTACCTTAGAGTGTTCCGAGTCGACCCAAAACACACCTTAGAAATATTTCTCCCACGTTCGTATCAAGGAAAAGTGTACCTAAAGGTTCTAGTTGGCTTTTGAAATTTCTCAACAACCAGTCAAGTGTGTTTCGTTCAAGGTTCAGATGCAGTGCAGGACTATACCTTAAGAGGCGCCTCAATGACTATCCAGACCAGAGCACCAAGGGGCCCAGAAGACTAAACCTTGAAAGGCGGTCACTGCAAGGTCTGTACCTTAAGAGGAGCCTCAATGACTATCCAGAGCACCAGGGGTCCCAGCGATCGCAGATAGGCGGCCAGACGGATGACGTAGACCACCTGGTGGGGTGAGGAGTGGAGGTGGGAGGTAAGGGGACACAATAAGAGTGGCGGCTCAGAGAGCGCAAATAGGCGGCCAGGCGGATGAAGTAGACCACCTGGTGGGGGGGGGAGAGAGAGGTACGGGAAGAAGGAGGGGGGGGAGGAAGTGGAAGGGGAGAGGGGAGTGGTAAGTGGGAGGGACAGCAGCGGCCCCAACGAGCGCAGATAGGCGGCCAGGCGGATGAAGTAGATCACCTGGTGGGGGGGCAGGTCGGGGGTGTGAATAGGGGGGAACGGAGGGAAAGGGGAAGGGAGAGGCGGAGGGAGGGGAGCGTGAATGGGAGCAGCCCAACGAGCGCAGATAGGCGGCCAGGCGGATGAAGTAGAGCACCTGGTGGGAGTGCCGGGAGGAGGAGGACGGGTGGGTGGAGAGGTGAAGGGGGAGGAGGGTAAGGGGGGCCGAGGGTGGAACGTAGCGGGGGGGAGAAACGTAAGGGGAGCCTGGGGAGGAGGGTGAAGGAAAGCAATGGGAGTGGCCCGCACAGATGTTCTGAGATGCCTTGACGAGAGCATGTTCTGAGATGCCTTGACGAGAGCATGTTCTGAGATGCCTTGACGAGAGCATGTTCTGAGATGACTTGACGAGACACGCTTCGAAGAGGAACGTGCCGCCCACCTGCAAGGCTCGTGCCGCCCACCTGCAAGGCTCGTGCCGCCCACCTGCAAGGCTCGTGCCGCCCACCTGCAAGGCTCGTGCCGCCCACCTGCAAGGCTCGTGCCGCCCACCTGCAAGGCTCGTGCCGCCCACCTGCATGCCTCGTGCCGCCCACCTGCATGCCTCGTGAGACATCAAGCCACCCACCTGCATGCCTCGTGAGACATCAAGCCACCCACCTGCATGGCGTGCGCGTGGGTGGGCGTGACGGCGAGCAGCGGCCAGTTGATCCCCTCAGGCTTCACCGAGCACGACTGTTCCTAGAAGCCTAATAGTGAGACATCTAATAGTGAGACATCTAATAGTGAGAGATCTAATAGTGAGACATCTAATAGTGAGACATCTAATAGTGAGACATCTAATAGTGAGACATCTAATAGTGAGACATCTAATAGTGAGACACCAGAGCCAGATGCTTGCTTACCTGCATGGCGCGCGCGTGGGTGGGCGTGACGGCGAGCAGCGGCCACTTGATCCCCTCGGGCTTCACCGCTCGCTGCGGCGCCAATACCGGGTCCTCCGCCGCGTCCACCTGGTTACCACTCGGGTTACCACTCAGGTTACCACTCTGGTTGCTACCGGCTTCTTGAGTATTATCTTTTGACGGAGGAGGACGGACTGCCATTCCAGAGATTTGAAAGCCGTTTTCTGGCGATCCGATGGCGGGGATTTGCTCCGGTTGAGAGGTATTCGGAGTGGTTGGAACGACTGCGATTGGTTGTGACTGTAACGAGGGAGCGTTGAGAGACAAATTGGGGGTTGACGACGCAGACGATGATGAGGACGATGTGCTTGTATCGGAAGAGATGTCAGTGGAGGAGGAGGAGGAGGAGGAAGAGGACGCGACTGACGACGTCGCAGGTCGCGAGGAGTCGTCCCGCAATCGTTCGCCGAAACTCGTGAAATTCGCGAATTCGTCGCTGGCGGGCGCGACGAGGTTCGTCGTGCGATTGACGAATCGGAGGCCCGAGAGGATCATCGCGCCGCCCAGAGCGACCAGCAGCAGCCGGATTCGCCCCACGCGACCCAGCGCTGCCGGCCGGCTCGCGGTTCGACCTAACGGCGCGGGATTCATGGCTGAAACGCGCTCGAATGGGGTGGAACTGGCTCAGACTGTAATCTACACCTAAAACTATATCAATACTTGCATGAGAACCGAGGAAAGACTAAACAGGTAAACTAGCGATGACTAAAACGCACTGGCGGCGCGAGGATCTATGGCCGGAACGACCTTGGAGTTGACTCAAAAGTCATCTCAGGGTGCTTTTTAGAATTCTCAAAAACAACATGCGCCTCATCCGCTGTGGCTGGCCGAACACGCAGCAGAATAAAGCCCCTTCCGCTCGATTACCCTTGCGCCTTTCGCCGCAGCAGATTAACTACGCCCGTCCCACCGGATTACCTTAGTATGGATGGAATCCAGGCGAGAATGAATCGCGGCGAGGAATCAGGAATGGATTAGATCGACGGATTACTTTCTCGAAGCGAAAGACAAATTGAGATCAGAGAGATGGGATCGCGGGACGAACGACCCAGCGCATCGGTGGTATGACCGTGGACATGAGATCAGCTGAAGTGCGTGTGGGCTGAATCAGCAAGCCATGGCTGCCATGCCGCATGAAATCCTCAGCCATGGCTTTCTGAGCTGGTGGGCCTTGCTGCTTGACGAAGAATTACGCCCATTTGTGGTTACCCTCTCATCCGTTTGCCGCAACGAGTTTTTTCGGCTTGCGAAACAAAAAGATAGCTCCAGAATTACCCCTGGCGAAATTGTAACGATTTCTTCTGCGAACTTCGTCACATTCGAAGTGAAGTCTGTCGTTGGAATTCTGTGCTACACAGACCCTTTTGCACCACTCTGGAACCTCTTATCACCCATCGAGCCGTGTTTGTACTAATCTCTACAACACCCTGACAAGCAATCATAAACAAGTACTTAGTAGCTGAAATAGAAGCCCCATCCTTTCACAATCACAGCCAACGTCCTTTCCATTCACTCCCTGTTCAGCGGCAGATTCGCAAATAGCGTTTGCTGGTTTTTTTCGCAGAAGATTTTGCGACGGAAACGAAGGAACGGTAGTTGTTGAAACTGCTCGTGGCGTTGCGGGAAAATCGCAAATTAGCGTTTGCTGTTTCTTTCGCGCGACGGAAACGAAGGAGCGGTCGTTGTTGAATCGGCTCGTCGGTGGCGTTGCGGGAGAATCATGGCGGCGGCGATGCGAGAGTTGCAGCAGCAGCTGGAGGCAGAAGTGAACGCGCTGCGGTCCCTGGAGAAGGGTAAGCTTTGAGGTGACTTTTGAGTCGACTCAAAAGTCACTGCGGTCTCTGGAGAAGGGTAAGCGCTGCTTTCTAGATTCTCAGCAGATCCTGCGGATTTTCCGCTTATCAGTCAGGGGGAAACGGCGAGGGGGGGGAATTAGCCGTTTGGTGAAAAGGCGATTCTGATCGCCGTTTTCCTCTTTCTGATCGAATCTCGACCATCGATCAGCGGCACAAAAAGCGGTCGGAGAAACTTCTAAGGCGAGAAACTTCCCCATGGCTCCGTATCGTCTTCTCTATAGATGTGACGCGAAATGTAACACTCCTTCTTCCTACAGGCCTGGAAGGCATTCAGCTCCCATCCATCCATCCTTTCTTCCCCCACATCCCTGCCCCGACATTCCTTACCCCCCTCCTCTCTCCTTCTCCCTCGCTCCCTCGCTTTCCCAAATCCCCCGTCCCCCCTCCTTTCCGGCAGTGCCTCGCCCTTTTGCCTCCGTCCCCTGTCACGAGCACACATCGCGCGGAACCACAAGGTGCGGTGGCAGTACAGCCAGTAGCTGGGATTCGAAAACACACCTCTAGCACCTCCCCTCTTCCCACACCCGCTTCCTCGCTGGCCTCTCCCGCTCCCTCCCCCTCCTCCCTCGTCTTCCCCTCCCACGTGCAGACATCGCGCGCAACCACAAGGTGTGACAGCAGTACAGCCTGCAGCCCTCATCTTCCCTCACCCCTCCCCCCCCCCCGTCCCCCTTCCCGTCCCTTCCTGCGGCAGACATAGCGCGCAACCACAAGGTGTGACAGCAGTACAGCCTGCAGCTAAGATTTGAAAGCACACCTCCAGCACCCTTCCCCAGCTCTTTCTCTAACATTTCCCCTCCACTCCCCTCCCCTCCCCCACCCTCACCCCCTCCCCCTCCCCCTCCCCCTCCCCCTCCCCCTCCCCCTCCCCCTCCCCCTCCCCCTCCCTCTCCCCCTCCCCCTCCCCCTTCTCCTCCGCCTCCGCCTCCGCCTCCCCCTACCTGCCTGTGCCAGACATAGCGCGCAACCACAAGGTGCGGCGGCAGTACAGCCTGCAGCTGAACGAGAACGAGATGGTGCACAAGGTGCGTGTGACTGTAGCGGAAATGTGGTGTTGGGACTGTAATGGAAATGTGATTATATTGAGTAGTGAGTGGAAAAGGTGCGGCGGCAGTACAGCCTGCAGCTGAACGAGAACGAGATGGTGCACAAGGTGTGTGTGACTGTAGCGGAAATGTGGTGTTGGGACTGTAATGGAAATGTGATTATATTGAGTAGTGAGTGGAAAAGGTGCGGCGGCAGTACAGCCTGCAGCTGAACGAGAACGAGATGGTGCACAAGGTGTGTGTGTGTGTGACTGTAGCGGAATGGCATGGGATGGGAGATTTGGTGACAGTGGGATGTGGTGGCAGTGGGTGTGATTATAAAGGGTTGTGCTATAATGGGATGATATTATGGGATGTGACAATGGGATGTGATTTTAATGGGGGGATAATGGCAGGATGCGCGGATGTGGTACGCATGATGTGCTGTGGCTTGTGGCCTAAAGTTGAGCGAGATTGTTGCGGGATATGACAAAATGGTGCCAAAGGTGTGACTGTATCGGACTGTGGTGTTGGGGCTGTAGCGGAACGTGATTACAATGGGGTGTGATCGGGTGCTGGTCGTGACACCGATGTGTTACCATCACCCCCCTCATTTCTCCGCCTCTCCACGTCAGGAGCTGGATTTACTAGAGGGAAGGCGCCAGGCTGTTCAAGCTCATCGGCCCCCGTGCTCGTGCCACACGAATTGAGACCCTTCAACCGCCCCTCGCTTCTCCTCTCCACCGTCCCTTCTCCCACCTCCTCTCCTCGCCAGGAGCTGGATCTACTAGAGGGAAGACGCCAGGGTGTTCTAGCTCAACGGCCCCGTGCCCGTGCTTAAGGCTCTTCAAACGCCCCTCCTCCTGAACTGCCCCTTCACTTCAACTGCATCTTTTCTGCCTTCCCCACCCTCGTCCTCGCCAGGAGCTGGATTTACTAGAGGTAGACGCCAGGCTGTTCAAGCTGATCTGCCCTGTGCTCGTGCCTCAAGACCCTTCTACTGCCCCTCTCCTGTGTACTTCAACCGCCCTCCCCTCCCCTTTCCGCCCTCCACTCTTCAGGAGCTGGATTTACTAGAAGAAGATGCCAGGGTGTTCAAGCTGATCGGCCCAGTGCTCGTGCCTCAAGACCTGGCAGAGGCGCGGGCGAACGTGGGGAAGCGGCTCGAATATATATCCACTGAAGTGTGAGTTTATGGTGGGTGTGGGTGGGAATGGGTGTGCGGGGGTGCTTCTGCTGTGCATGCCAGTTGGGAGAGGCCAGTGGGTGTGTGTGAGTGGCTGCTCGTGCCTCAAGACCTGGCAGAGGCCCGCGCCAACGTGGGGAAGCGGCTCGAATATATATCCAGTGAAGTGTGAGTGTGTGTGCGTGCGTGTGTAAGTGTGTGAGTGCGTGTGTAGGTGTGTGAGTGCGTGTGTAAGTGTGTGTGTGTGTTTGTGGAGGGGGGCGGAAAGGGGGGGGAGGCTGAGTGGCTGCTCGTGCCTCAAGACCTGGCAGAGGCCCGCGCCAACGTGGGGAAGCGGCTGGAATACATATCCAATGAAGTGTGAGTGCGTGAGAGTGTGTGTAAGTGTGTGAGTGCGTGGGTATGTGTGTGAGTGCGTGTGTAAGTGTGTGTGTGTTTGTGGAGGGGGGGCGGAAGGGAGGGGGAGGATGAGTGGCTGCTCGTGCCTCAAGACCTGGCAGAGGCCCGGGCCAACGTGGGGAAGCGGCTCGAATACATATCCAGTGAAGTGTGCGTTTATGGTTGTGGGTGTGGGTGGGAATGGGTGTGCGGGGGTGCTGCTGCTGTGCATGCCATTAGTGTGAGGCCAGGGTGTGTGTGTGTGGCTGCTCGTACCGCAAGACCTGCAGAGGCCCGGGCAAACGTGGGGAAGCGGCTCGAATATATATCCAGTGAAGTGTGAGTGCGTGCGTGGAGAGGGCGGGAAGGGGAGGAAGTGGGACGGGGGGGGTGGGGGCGATGCCGTGCGTGGCATTTCATTGCATGCCCCAAGACCTGGCAGAGGCCTTGCTGAAGCGACTGGAATGCATCACCAGTGAAGTGTGAGTGCATGCGTGCGTGGAGGGGGAAGGCCAATGGAGCCCCAGGTTGGAGCCATCTCTTTACGTGGCAGCGACTTGTTTAGTTAAAAAGTAGTTGTTTGCTTGAAAAAACTTGGTGAAAAAGTTGATGGTAAAAGTCACTACTCAGCCCTACTCAGTCCCTCCTCCTCCTCGTAGGAGGAGGAGGGGCTGAGTAGGGCTGAGTAAAACTTCTTTTGAGTCGACTCAAAAGTCACCCCTAAGACCTGCAGAGGCCTTGCTGAAGCGACTGGAATTCATCACCAGTGAAGTGTGAGTGAGTGCGTGCGTGCGTGGAGGGGGGAGGGGGGGAGGGAAGGGGTGGGCAATGATGTGATGTGCATGGCAAGTGATGTGCATGGCTAGTGATGTGCATGGCAAGTGATGTGCATGGCTAGTGATGTGCATGGCTAGTGATGTGCATGGCTAGTGATGTGCATGGCTAGTGATGTGCATGGCTAGTGATGTGCATGGCTATTGATGTGCATGGCTACTGATGTGCATGGCTAGTGATGTGCATGGCTAGTGATGTGCATGGCTAGTGATGTGCATGGCTAGTGATGTGCATGGCTAGTGATGTGCATGGCTAGTGATGTGCATGGCTAGTGATGTGCATGGCTAGTGATGTGCATGGCTAGTGATGTGCATGGCTAGTGATGTGCATGGCTAGTGATGTGCATGGCTAGTGATGTGCATGGCTAGTGATGTGCATGGCTAGTGATGTGCATGGCTAGTGATGTGCATGGCTAGTGATGTGCATGGCTAGTGATGTGCATGGCTAGTGATGTGCATGGCTAGTGATGTGCATGGCTAGTGATGTGCATGGCTAGTGATGTGCATGGCTAGTGATGTGCATGGCTAGTGATGTGCATGGCTAGTGATGTGCATGGCTAGTGATGTGCATGGCTATTGATGTGCATGGCTATTGATGTGCATGGCTACTGATGTGCATGGCTAGTGATGTGCATGGCTAGTGATGTGCATGGCTAGTGATGTGCATGGCTAGTGATGTGCATGGCTAGTGATGTGCATGGCTAGTGATGTGCATGGCTAGTGATGTGCATGGCTAGTGATGTGCATGGCTAGTGATGTGCATGGCAAGTGATGTGCATGGCTAGTGATGTGCATGGCTAGTGATGTGCATGGCTAGTGATGTGCATGGCTAGTGATGTGCATGGCTAGTGATGTGCATGGCTAGTGATGTGCATGGCTAGTGATGTGCATGGCTAGTGATGTGCATGGCTAGTGATGTGCATGGCTAGTGATGTGCATGGCTAGTGATGTGCATGGCTAGTGATGTGCATCCATCTCTAGTGAAGTGTGAGTTGTGTGTGTGGGGAATGATCGTATGTGGGTTTTCACACACATCTACACACATCTACACACATCTACATACTTTATAATTCATTTCCTTGCAGTAAGCGGCTGGAGGGGGCGTTGAAGCAGCTGGAGCAGAAGCAGGCATCAAAGCAACAGGACGTGAGTATCCTGTAGTTGCCCACTCTTTCCTTCCTTTACTTTCCACCATGAACAGCACTCTTTCCTTCATTCCATCCCCCCTTTAAGCAGCACTCTTTCCTTCACTCTATCCCCCCTATAGACAGCACCCTTTCCTTCCTTTTATCCCCTCTACGAACAGCACTGTTTGGCCTTTTATAAGCTCGCAGTGCAGAGGTTTGTCGTCTTCATGTGCAAACCGCATTAGCCCATTATCTCGCCTCCCCCTCACTCAGCTGCATGTCATTTCTTCCCATCACTCACCAGCATGTCATTTCGTCCCATCACTCAGCTGCATGTCATTTCTTCCCATCACTCACCAGCATGTCATTTCTTCCCATCACTCACCAGCATGTCATTTCTTCCCATCACTCACCAGCATGTCATTTCTTCCCATCACTCACCAGCATGTCATTTCGTCCCATCACTCACCAGCATGTCATTTCTTCCCATCACTCACCAGCATGTCATTTCTTCCCATCACTCAGCTGCATGTCATTTCTTCCCATCACTCACCAGCATGTCATTTCTTCCCATCACTCACCAGCATGTCATTTCGTCCCATCACTCACCAGCATGTCATTTCGTCCCATCACTCACCAGCATGTCATTTCTTCCCATCACTCAGCAGCATGTCATTTCTTCCCATCACTCACCAGCATGTCATTTCTTCCCATCACTCAGCAGCATGTCATTTCTTCCCATCACTCAGCAGCATGTCATTTCGTCCCATCACTCAGCTGCATCTCATTTCTTCCCTCCGTCCTGTTTGCTCACCATTCCTTGTTCCCGTGCCCCATTGTTCCATTTCTTTCTCCTCACCTCCAAAAGTCTCCTGTCTCAATCACCCACCTTCCCACACCCCACTCGCCTTCGTGACCTTCTGTGCCCATCTACCCAGATAATGCAAGCCCAGCGAAAGCTTCAAGCTTTCCATGCACAGCGGAGCCAATAATCCTGCATTCGTTGAAAGAGGGGAGAGAAATTGGTGTGGTAGTAGATAGAGTTTTGACACGTCTCAAAATCCTGCATGCGTACGAGGGGAGAGAAAGAACATAGGGAGGTGGATCAAACGATCAAGCCTTTTTGTTTTTGTGGCTGCATTGGACGACTTCACCTCTCGGCTGCAGCTTCATCGTGCTTGCTTCTAGTATCCGTGAGTAGCACGAATTGAAAATAAGGGTCACGGTTTAGGTATTTTACCGATTTTCTCTCTCCTTTTCGTCTGTGGTTTGTCACTTGGATTCATTTCCTTTAGGGGTCCCTGGTCAGAAGGGCAAGAACGATTCAACAGACATCCAGATGCAACGGAAGATCAATACCAAAGATTGAATGGTCAATGGATGAAGAAGGGAAGAATGGATACCATACAAGGGAAGATGCCATGTGCATTTTCTATTTTCGATATGAGATTGTGCTAGTTATTAGCACAGGTGTGCACTGTGACTGTGTGCACAGTTCTGTACAGAAATCATTGCGATGTTGCCTTGGTGTGTCATGTGACCTGTCTTGTCCTTCTCCAAGGATCTCTCATGAAGGTGAATTTCCCGGAATGTGATGGTATTTAGTCTGCATATCACGATGGTCGTCCAAAAATTCCTTAAGCCCCCGGAGCTGTCACTATGTTCTGAAAACTAACCCGATTCCAGATCAGCCGAAGGAAGAGCCGCACCTTTCCCAAAATTCCAGGTACGCGGTAGTGTTTAGTGAAATACTGAAAAAGTGTGATTAGATTCCTGGTCAACTGCACAAATCGCCCACCCCCCAACCTCCCACTTTGGGGGGGGGGGTTAGGCGAGGAAATGACATATGGTCTTCCAATAAGAGGGCAAGCGATCTCCATAAAATTTAGGTCAAGTACTTACACGAAATGTTCAACATTGAGGTCCGTTGGGTTCGTGCACACGCTACGCATCCAAGGGCAGAGAATCCTTGAAAATTGTTGATTGGAACTTCTCTGTCCAGCTCATGTCTGAATCACATGTCACGCAACCGCGGGAATCACAGCAAGTTGCAAGACTGTTCAACCCTTCCCGAGCCAAGTGCATCGCTCCTTGTCACCACTTTTTTCATCTCGTTCCGCCCCAAGCCCCTATGTAGCCTCTGGGATAGTTCGGTTACTGTATCACGGCACATGCACCCAAGCCAGACCTTTTTTTGCCTGAGTGTGGTGTGTCTTGGTAGTTTTCAATTTTGACACCTGCCCCGCCCTGACCCAGCCTGTGCACTGGATGGGAATCCATGTTGCCATCAAATCTTGGAGGCACACTTCACCATTGGCGTCGTGGAGATACAGGACACCTCCCACCCACCGAAGGTGCCTCATCAGAAACACGAAAACAGGGCGATTGGAAGGACTGTGGTGAAAATGGGGGCACCAAGAATCAGAAACACCCCCCAGGTCCACCATTGCAGTTTTTATCCAACAACCGTACTGCACACAGAGACATCCCTGAACTGTGCTTCCTCGATTTGTGCATTCACGGAACTGTGCCATTCCATGTTTTCTTGAGATCTCCAAATCAGCAATCTGCACTCTCCCCTCCCCCCACTCTCCAACCACTCTCAATGCACGTTATGTGGGGCGCGTGAAATTTACAAGCAGCCATTCATGCTTGTCAATGAGGAACGGCCATATGCTTGCACTGTCCATCCACTCTCTCACATCCCAAAAATAGCAATGCATGCCACTCCAAAGCACCAGATTACACCCTCCCAACGAACAGCAGACAAGCATTAGGCATTAGGCAGCAGGCATAGAGACGGTTCCAAGGCAGTGACAGCTTGCTGTAAAATAGAACCCTGGTAATATTTCTCAGTCTCCAATGAAAACATGGATCAAGCTAGGCGGGGGCCGGACTCGCCGGCAATCACTCGCCAGCAAGCTCCCGGTCTGCTTCTCCCTCAGCGCGCCTCGCGGTTTCCGCTCCAACTCGCTTCCCAAAATCTTCTTCCGCGAGGCTCCCTACCCGGTCCCCGACTCCTGCGGCTCCCCTGCGCATGGTGTTTCCACTTCTGCGGAAGACAAGCGAAATGCGCCCCCCTGCTCTGCCCCAGATCATGACCCCCGCAACAGCACCTGCACCCTTCCGGAACACGACAATGCCACCGCCACTAGTACCACCAACCAGGGCGGCATAGCATCCCACGTGTCCCAAATGTCTGAGCCCCCTAAATCACACCCGCCTCCACACGCGGGCAGCAACTGCGACTCTGCAAACCCCAGCTCGTTCTCATCAGGTCAAGCGGCAACGGCAGAAACTGCCTCGGGAAATCCAGCCTCGGATGCCGAGCCTCGCAGTGGTCGGCGCGGCGCAACCAGAATAGCAGCTTCTTCGCGGCGCAGGCACGGGTCGCCTGACGCATCTCAGATCTGCCCATTAAACTCGTCCACACGAGTCGCCGGCGGAGCGCGTCACCATCACGCGCCGCGGAAAGGAGGATCCGGAACCCTTAACAGCTTCTCCAAAGAGTTTGATTCTCCGCCAGTAGTGTTCTCCTCGCTCTCGGCGCTTCCGCCGGCGCCGGCGCCGCAGCCGCCGGGGGGCGCTCGCCTGTTTCCGCGGGATTGACTCGCCTCATTCACGACCTCTACGGCGGAGATGACAGCGGTGACAGCGACGGCGGAGGAAACGCAGCGCGGTTCCACTCGGAAGGAGACCTCTACGCTTCAGTCGTTCTGCCCGCGAGACGCGGCAGAAGCGCCGCCGCCGCCGCCGGCAGCAGAAGAAGTTTGGGAGGACTTGGCAGCCCAGACGATTTCTCACCCGACTATCAGCCATACCCCGCCGACTCGTACGCTGCTACGTTTCGCTCCGGACCGCTGCCCCCCACGACCTCCGGCGCGATCCGCCGGTCGCCTGCTGGATATCTCCCGGTAAAAACGGCCTCGGGATCATCGTTTCACGGCGACGGCGGCTATTACCCCACGCTTACGGGATCTCCGCTGTCGTCTCGATATCTCACGGGGTCTCCGCTTTCGTCGCGACATCATCTCACGGAATCTCCGCTTTCGTCGCGACATTATCTCCCGGAATCGCCGCTATCGCGGAACGCCACTATTCACTCACTTGACGTTGCTCAGCGCCGGTCGCGGCGGACGCTCTCTCAGCCGCCGGATTTCCCCGGCTTCCAGCAGGACCTCCGCGGCGGCGGCGGCGGCGGGAGTGGCGGCGGTAAACGCGTAATGTTCGTCGAAAGAGTGAGCAGCGACTCGCCGCTGAGAGTTCAGACGCAGCAGGCTGGTTACGATCAAGACTCTGGCTTCGCGAGCCCTGCCAGTTTCGCGAGTCCACTCGGCAGCTTCAATTCGCCGGGAGACTCACGACACTCGGCTAGCGGCAGGCGCGGCGGCGGAGGCGGCGGAGCAGGCGGCGGCTGCGGCGAAAACGGCGCCGACGGATGCGGGATGTCAAGACGGTCGTTGACACAGCCTAAGAACCGCGTGCCCGCGTCGCATTCCATCGGCCCGTGCACCAGCTTCGTAACCGGCGGGAGCTGCCGCGCCGCGGGTTACCACTATCCGGGAGGGGCTACCCCGGGGCGGTCTCACTCAGGCAGGTGTCATCTGGGTGGATCTTTTCGCGAGCATCATCGGAGCGAGAATGAACAGATCCGCAGTTCGAGAGGCGATTGCTACGATGGCGGCAGCATTGGTCGCGGCCACAGCGGGCAGCGGCAGCACGTAAGCGGAGGGGGAAACGGTGGCGAAGGCGGTACCGGACGCGAAGGCGGAAGCGGAGTAAGCGAAGGCGGAGGCGGAATGGGTAGCGGACGCGGAGGCGGTAGCGGACGCGGAGGAAGCGAAGACGACAGCGGCGGAGACGAGTCGCGTCGCAGCGGCAGTGCAGGGCCAGCGACAGCAGCAGCGGCGGCAGCAGTGGCGGGCGCCAGGCACAGGAGACACCTGAGCCGCGGGAGCAGCGCTTACTCCTACGCCGTGCGCCGCGAAGAAAGTCGGGGTGAGGGCGATGACTTTAGCCGCGACGCGAGCAAGCTGTTCGGCTGCGGTGGATCCGCGACTCCCCCCAGAGGCGGTCCGACTTCAACCGTTGGCAGCGCGAGTCCTTACACAAGTCGCGGTGTTTCCCGGAGCGCTACTACTACTAGGGGCGGTTCTACGACGACTCTTACGACGAGTATCAACGGCGCCGAGAGCCCCCACGCCAGCGGAGTTGACCGCGCGACGCACGGGAGTCCGCTCGTGACTCCGCGCGCCGCCGTTGACCGCGTTGACTTGTTCCAGCACTACCAGCACAACCGGAACCCTAGCGGGTGGAGCAGCCCGTACTTCGCCGCGCGGAGCGGCTTGGACAAATCCGCGACATTCTGCGGCGCGGGAAGATCCGTCGAAGGGGCGGCGGACAACAACCGGTTGCGGGACAGCAGCACGGGAACGCGCCAACGACCTGAGATCTGTCGATCGCCAACGTCGAATGAGCGAGCCCCGAAAGAGAGGATTACCCGCGACTGCGGCGCAGGAACTCAGGGACCTCGAAAACTGGGACCGACGTACGCGATGGGCGGTTCTCTGGGCGGCGCGTTTGGCGGGTCTCCGATTGTGCACCACCGCCGCCAGCATTCCACCAGCAGCAGCGGGGTGTTTTCGAACTCGTTTGAGCGCGACTCGTCTCATCATGTAACCTATGTTTCGTCGTTTGAAAGGCACATACAATTGGTGGCTGAAGCTGAGAGGATGGATCAGATAGCGATCATGTCACCAGGTTGACTAGACGGCGCCCATTCTCTTCCTTCACGGAAGTGTCACCCGCTGCCAGCTCGGTGGTCTCTAGAGGCCCTCTGTACTTACGATCTAGATTTCGTTGTGATGGGAGGGGATGAGTGTGAGGAGGAGATGAGGGTGGACGCGTTGTTATCTCCCAGCCGACACGGGGGTGGCTGTGTTGATCCTGTCAGAGGCAGGGAGGGTGCGGTGCAGATGGTTCGCACTGTCGTTGCTCGTGGTGTGGGCAGGTGTAACGAAGAACGATAGATGCCGTAAGGGGTTCGCGACTTTTACTGTATAGTACATGTGGGCTTGCTCGCCTCACGAGTATAGATTGCAAGTTTCCATTATAGGAGATTTCTCTAGACAGTTCGCATCAAAACGATTGAACGAGGTGCGTTACGTTACATAGGGGTCGATGAAAACATTGGAAGGGCCGGATGGGAATAGGAATGAGGAAGGGCCGGGTAGGGTATTCGGGCAAAACGAACTTTCGGGATGTCCCCTCACAACACCCACCTGCTAGGGACGGTTATGATCTGGGCGGTGTTCGCCTGCCCGAAAAAATGTTGTTACACACTGCCCTGGCACTCTTCCAAAGTCAAAATTTCGCGAACTGATGCACTGGATGTGGCATTCTTACTGGTTAGCCGTTGGATTGTTTTTCGGGTGAGTATTCCACCAAAACAATACCCCAAAACGGGCGTTTATATCTGCCCGTTATTTGTTGTGCGCCTCTTCAATCCCCACTCGACGAGCGCATAGGGCTCGCACAGGCCATGCGGAAAAATTGCCTGTGAAACCAAGCTCGTGGAATTTTCTCAGCGCACAGAGAGTTATGCGTTCTTGCGCACGCATGAATAATGCGCGCACAACTCCCGCACCAGAGGTTCGGGAGACAATAACGATTTGGGAGGCTCGACGTGGGCTTTAATCCTTGTTATGCGCATTCCGAGAATGTTCAGCGTTAGGGCTGAGCACCCCTTATGCGCCAACAGAACAGGGCCATCGCCAACCCACGGCAGTCCACGTGAAATGGTGGACTGCCACGGGATGGCATGAGACGGGACGTTTGCCTGGGGAGGAAGTCGCATCCCCATTTCCGAATGCCATGTTTCCATCCGAAAGCTGAGAAAAATGAGGGCGTTCGCCAGGCACCAAATATTGCTTTAGGGTCGGACGACATCCTAGCTTCGGCACGAATTTTACGGGCTGACCAGGCTGACGGAGCTTAACGAACCCTAACTGACGGGATCAGGAAGGCGTGACTGACCTTCCTGATCCCGTCGTTTTCGTTTTCAAAAGTGCTGGCGAACACCGCCCTGGTGTAACATCATTGGTGCAAGGGAATGTCACCAGGCTCCAGTAGACCCTGCCCTAAAATGCTAAGCACCCTAAAACCCAAACGCCCGGAAAAACAGTTTCACTGAATACGTCCGAAGAACAGTACCACTGTGCAGTGTGTTTCGGCGGTTTAGGGTTGGTCGAAGTTTCTTTCGAGTCTCTCGAAACCAGGGATGTGTACATCTGAAAGTTCTTACGAGTCAGCCATTGTTTCTTTCTCCACTGAAACCACAGTTTTTTTTCACGCATCAAATTGCTGTTGTGCTACCTTTTTTCTCATTTATTTTGTGGGTGTGGGGCTATCTTGGTGAATGGAGGGTGATGTTTAGATGGTGGGGTACATAAATAAATAGCACTTTCAAGCCTACATCTGCCCGCGAAAATATACAGTTAGCACTTGTGAGTGTGAGGGCTAATTCGTATCCCGTGTCAGACCACAGGTCAGACCTTCGGAAGACACGAAGTGACTCGGTTTGTGTCTTCCGAACCCAAATTGCCTGCATTCCGAGTCCCTTTGGGTCTTCCGAACCTCAACTTCGTGTCTGGCTTCAGTCTGACACGTGATACGAATGAGCCCTGAGGTGGTTTGGAACAGCAGTGTTGCCTCACCTGGCCGACCCTTTGGATCCGCAACCACATGTTCACACGTCACCAAACCGTCGGGTGAAGCTTTTGCAGGACAACCAGTTGTAATTCCCTAGCTGAGCTAATCGCAACCGTCAATTTTCCTAGCGATTCATGATCTATGCCACAGGCGTTTCAAAAATTGCCCCTTTTTCCTTCTTGTTTCCGTGTGACCCTCGTGTGACCTCTGGAAACTGTTGTTTTGGGCGGGTCTGTGACTGTCTTTACAGCTCATGCACTCTCTGGAGCCTTTGCCTCTTACGAATCCGAAGTGTGGTGCGTTTTGGTTGACTGCAACAGTAACCCCTGCCGCGCTCCGACCCAGCCTGGCAAACGCAAATGGAGATATTCCAGCGGAGATGATGCTTGAGCAGCAACGCTGAAGCAATGTGCATGTACATCCATCCTTTCATACGACGTGGTTCAGTACGGTGTGGAGCGAATGTGTGTGCACCGGGCAAACTGGGGCGATGCCTTTTGGGAATGGCCTCCCGCTGCCTAGTATCCCAAAAATAGCAACGCATGCAACTCCAAAACACTAAACTGCAGCCTCTCAACACACAGCAGACAGACATATGGACAGCAGCCATAGACACGGTTCTCATGATTCTAACTTCGTCATTGTAAAATAGAACCTGTATTACGCTCATCTCAGTCCCTATGAAAACGTGGGCCAAGCTAGGCGGGAGCCGCACTCGCCGGCAATCTCCCGCCAATTGCAACCAAGCCGCAAACAGCGGCTGCTTCTCCCTCCGCGCTCCTCGAGGCTTCCGCGCTCCTCGAGGCTTCCGCTCCGACACCATTCCCAGAATCTTCTTCCGCGAGGCTCCTTATCCGGTTCCCGACTCCTGCGTCTCCCCCGCGCATCTTGAGACTTCCGCTTCTGCGGAAGAGAAGCAAAATGCGCCCCCCTGCTCCGCTTCAGATGATTCCCGCAGCAGGACATGTAGTACCCTTGTGGACCAAGACAATGCCACCGCCGCCGCGGATACCACGAACCACCGCCGCACCCCATCCCACGTGTCCCACGCATCGGAGCCCCCTAACTCTAACCCGCCGCTACACGCCGGGAGCCCTTGCAACTCGGCAAAATCCAGCTCGTTCTCACCAGATCACGCGGCGACGGCTGACACCGATATTGGAGCCTCGGAAAAACCAGCCTCGGATGCCGAGCCTGGCAGCGGTCGCCGCGGTGCGACCAGAGTAGCTGCTTCTTCGCGGCGCAGGCACGGTTCGCCTGACGCTTCTCAGATCTGCCGAATCAACTCACCCACACGAATCGCCGGAGCGAGTCACAGGCACGTCACGCCGCGGAGAGGAGGGTCGGGTACTCTTAACAGCTTGTCAAAGGAGTTCGATTCTCCGCCTGCGGTCGTGTTCTCCGCGCTTTCGGCGCATCCCTCTTCCGCCGCCGCCGGCGCCGCCACCGCCGCCGCCGCCGCCGCGGGGCGCTCGCCCGTTGCCGCGGGATTGACTCGCCTCATTCACGACCTCTACGGCGGCGATGACAGCGGTGACAGCGACGGCGGAGGAAACGCGCACTTTCACTCGGAAGGAGACCTCTACGGTTCGGTCGTTCTTCCCGCAAATCGCGGCGGAAGCGCCGATTTCAGCGTCGCCAGAAGCGCCGCCGGCGGCAGCAGGAGCGGTTGGGGAGAACTTGGCAGCGTAGACGATTTCTCCCCCGACCATTTCACGGGGCCTCCGCTATCATCGTCGCGACCGCATCTCACGGGGTCTCCGCTATCGCGAAACGCCACTCTTGATTCTCATGAAATAGCGCAGCGTCGGTCGCGGCGGACGCTCTCTCAGCCGCCGGATTTCCCTGGCTTCCAGCAGGACCTGGGCGGCTCCCCCGCCAGGGGTGGCGGCAGAAAACACGGCGTATCATTCGTCGGAAGAGTGAGCAGCGACTCGCCACTAGGAGTTCAGACGCAGCATCTGGCGTACGATCACGATGGCTTCGCGAGCCCTGTCAGTTTCGCGAGCCCACTCAGAATCGCGAGCCCACTCGGCAGCTTCGACTCGACGGGAGGACCACGTCGCACTGCTACTACTAGCAGCAGCGGCAGCGGCGGCAACGGCGGCGGCGGCGGCGGCGGCGGAGGCGGTGGCTGCAGCGGAAACGGCGCCGACGGACGCGGTTTGTCCAGGCGGTCGCTGACACAGCCTAAGACCCGCGTGCCGGCTTCGCATACGGTTGGCCCGTGTACGAGCTCCGTCACCGGCGGCAGCTGTCGCGCAGCGGGAGGAGGAAAGGCTGCTTGCAACTACCCAGGAGGGGCTACCCCGAGGCGGTCTCAGTCGGGCGGGTCTCATCTGCGCGGGTCGCACGGAAGCGGACACGGAAGCGGGGGCGGAAGCGGGGGCGGAAGCGGGCACGGAAGCGGACACGGAAGCGGACACGGAAGCGGACACGGAAGGGGGGACGGAAGCGGAGGCGGAAGCGGACACGGAAGCGGAGGAAGCGCGGGCGATAGCAAGGGCGAGTTGCGTCGGAGTGGAGCGGCGGCGTCAGCGGCGGCGGCGGCGGCGGGCGCTAGGCACACGAGACACCTAAGCCAGGGAAGCTGCGCTTACTCCTACACCGTGCGCCGCGAACAAAGTCGCGGTGAGGGCGATGACTTCAGCCGCGACGCGAGCAAGCTGTTCGGCTGCGGTGGATCCGCGACTCCCCCGAGAGGCGGTCCGGCCGCTGGCAGCACGAGCCCCTACCACACGAGCGGCGGAGTTTCTCGAAGCGTTACTAAGGCCGGAACTAGGACGATCATCGCAACGAATAGTAACGGCGGAAGCCCCCACGTCAGCGGGGTTGACCGCGTTGACCGCGTTGACTTGTTCCAGCACTACCAGCACAACCGGAACCCTAGCGGGTGGAGCAGCCCGTACGTAGCAACGCAAACCGGCCAGGAAAAATCCGCCACATTCTGCGGCGCGGGAAACTCCGTCGAAGGGACGACGGACAAGAACCGGTTGCGCGACAGCAGCGCGGGGCAGCGCCAACGGCCTGAGATCTGTCGGTCGCCGACTCGAAATGAGCGAGGCCCGAAGGAGAGGATTAGCCGCGATTGCGGCGCGGGAACTCAGGGCCCTCGGAAACTCGGACCGACGTACGCGCTGGGCGGGTCTTTAAGTGGCGCTTTTGGCGGGTCTCCGATCGTGCATCACCGCCGCCAGCATTCCACCAGCAGCAGCGGAATGTTTACGTACTCGTTTGAGCGTGACTCGTCTCATCATGTAACCTATGTTTCGTCGTTTGAAAGGCATATACAGTCGGTTGCTGAAGCAGAGAGGTTAGATCGGCTGGCTATCCTGTCGTCAGGCTGACTAGACGGGTGGACAGGTAACCCCCCTCCCTCAACACCGCGTAACTTGCTGCTGGCTTCGGTGGTATCTAGTCTAGACGCGCCTGTGTTTCACGATCTAAGAATCACTCAAGGGCAGTGTGGAACGCATATTCAGTGATGCGAGGGGATGAATGTGAGGCGATAGTGTGAAGGAGGTCTGTGGAGTGTGACTTGAGATGCGTTTCTCACAAACAACCCAACACGGGCCTATGTTGTTCCCGCCCGATACAGCGGAGGGTGCAGTGTAGTGCACCAGATGGTTGACCGTGTGGATGCCGTTGTTGCAGGTCCCCCATGTACCCTGTATAACAGCCTCCTCAATAGGTGTATAAATTCTACGTGGGCTTGCTGTCCTTTAGATTCTAGCTTATTATATTCAAATCGTCCCCCATCAACTTCTGTGAATTGAAGACCCCTAAGCAATCTTGTTCCCGCGGAAATACTTCAGCTGCTTGCTCTATAACGGAATTCTGATGGGTTGCAAAATGGGCGTCCTATACAAACTACAGTCTTAGATAACCGTGTGTTTCATCTTTCTTCCAAATCAGATGCTGGTCCACGCTCTACGAATTGAAAACCGCGTGTTTCAACAATCTCGATCACAGCGCATTTCTTGCAGTGACTTCGTGGATTTTGCGTGGCAGAAGCCAATGACGATGGCGCGTGCGCAGTCTGTTTCAAGGGTAGCCCATCACTCGAGAAGCATTTGTTCGGTTTCATAGCAGCCACTCCCTTCGGCGTGGTGCCGCTGAAAGGCCTACTCAATCAAGTAGCGTCTGCTGAAAACCACTGAAAACTTTGAAGGGGGTGTCGTTTCCTTTTACAAGCCGGAAAACGGAAGAGAACCTGCCCGCATCGTTACCACAGGTAAACCTGGCTGGCAGTCGTTGATAACGACGACACGTTGGTCGGTCGACTCCATCCAGGAACCAGTCGAGAGGGAGAAAACCCTGAAGGAGCCTGTGGTCCCTGATGGTCGCACCAAACGAATGGTGTCAAGTCAACTCTAGACACCAGCCATCGCTGAGTTCCAGAAATCATGCGCATGCTTTCCCTACAACCCATGGATGCTGTGAGCGTCACGACGACCAGTAATGAAGGGTCGGAGTCACCGAGATTTTTTCAAGAATTTAGACAAGCCGGTCTACAAAGGACAAACTGCCTTCAGACCGCAACTGAAGCCCAGTTGGTTTGCATTGGGTGGGTGCCTGCCCCTAGGCGCTTCTCAACAACCCTGAACGAAATTGAGTGTAGAGCCCTATTCTTCCAGAAGGGTTGGGATGGCGTCGTTCACAAAAGTCAACTCCCAACGGATCGAGGTAACATTTCGCAATTTCTGGAAACGAAATGGTCAAAGCGCCTCCCTCACTTATTCACCCCACTAGCGCACAAAGCAGCAGCGAGAAGCTTTTTGCATTTGCGTAGTCTTCTAAAACTTCGCTGGTTTTTCGTTTCGGGCACCCTAGTATCCATGACCTCCAGCAAGGGACACTCCCCCATGGTCGTTTCTGTACAGTATTCGATGAGGCCGCGCGGTGTAGAAGCGAAAGCTGGAGACCAACTGCAAACCACAGCTTCACGCCATGGCCTCACTTTTGCCATTCGGTCTTTGTCGAGTTCATGAATGTTCAACTTCAACTGCGACTACGCCTTCAACTGCGCCGTACTGTACGCTGATCGCTTCCCCCCTAACTCGTCACAACTCAACTCGTCAAATACAAACGACAGTAAGCTCTGAATAGCATTTTTTTTTCTCCGGATATCGAGTGATGTGTGTCTTGGCCGATTCTGTAGCCAGCATATCCCTGACGTGAAATATAGCGAAGGAGGCTAGACGTAGCCTAGCAATCCTTTGATCTCAATGGACATGGCGAAAAAGTGGGTCAAGCTAGGCGGGTTAGGCCGGTCCCGCAGACAGTCAAACCGCAGCTGCGGCGACGAAGTTACATGCTTTTCCCTCCGCGCTCCCCGCGGCTTCCGCGCCGACAGCCTCCCCAAAATCTACTTCCGCGAAGCTCCCATTGACGTTCCAGATGTCGCCGCCTCCAATTCCGTCACTGCAGACGAAGTCAACGCGGTCAAACATGCGTCCGACGTGGTGTTATCCTCTCCTAGCAGCTCCCACCGGCTTGACCAAAGCAACAGTTCTTCCGCCGACTTATCCTCGTTCGACCTGCCCAATCTCGAATCAGAAGAGCCTTCTCCCGCGGTCGAGCCAGCTGCGGGCAGGCGCGGCTCGCCTGACGGAGCGCGAACTTGCCCAGAAAGATCGTTGACGGGCGAGGATGACGAATTCTGCTCGCGTCGCGCCAAGACCGTGCCGCTTGACGCCCATTCCGCGCATTCTCGAAGGGCCGGATCTCGGCGCTCGCTCACGGGCCAGCGGGGAAGCGGGCGGATCGGCGACGGCACTGTTTCTGAAACCACCACTCCCGCGCAGCGCGCGCTCGAGCTTGCGCCGGTGGCGGAGCCTTGTTCCCCGGCTGCCGCGGGGCGTCCGGCGCCGCCCGTTTCCACGGGACTGAGTCGCTTGATGGCGGACCTGTACGGCGGCGAGGAGGACGACTCGGTGGGGGAGGGGGATCTCTACGGCGTCGCGGTTCTCCCCTCTTCGAGCAAGAGTGGTCGTCGCGCAAGTATTAGCGGCGGAACCGGCGGGTTCGGCGGAAGCAGCAGGAGGATTGCGTGGGAAGGAGCCAACGGCGACGATTATCTTTCGTACCCGGAAGATCTGTATGCGGTGGCGTTTCGGTCTGGACCGCTGCCGCCGAGCCGGTCGCCGGCCGCTTTCTCTCGCAGCGGCGGCGGAGGCGGCGGCGGCGGTGCCGGTGGCCCGCCTGCGCGTTCCCCGCTGTCGCGGAACGCCACGATGCACATGGTTCCGAAGCAGCGATCGCGTCGGACGTTCTCCCAACCCTCGGATTTCCCGGGTTTCCAGCAGGATCTGGGTGGGAGCAGCAGCGCGATCGGCGGAGGCAGTCTCCCACGACGCTCGTTGACTCAGCCGAAGCTTCGTGCACCATCAGATCCTGATTTAACTGGCTCGAGTGACACCAGAGCGGCCGGCGGACAGGCTTATGCAGAAGCGTCTATCCCGGAAGCGTCTACGCCTGAGAGTCTTTTCCGGGGAGAGTCTAGCCGGGGGGGTTCTCATCGGAAGGGGTCTTTCCGGGGGCGGCCGAGCGAGGATCAGACGAGCCCTTTGACGGGCGATCCGACAGGCGTTTGCTACGACAGCAGTAGTAGGGGCGCGGGTGGGCAGAGGCGGCGCGGAAGTGCAAGCGGAAGGGAAATTGGGGGCGGCGTAAGGACACCGCCAGCAGAAGGACACCGGAGAATTCCGAGCGGGGCCAGTTACGACGGGCGCGAGGGGGGATTCGAAGGCGAGGTGCGACTTAAGGAACGGGCGGAAGGACACCGGAGGAACCCAAGCGGGGCCAGTTACGATGGGCGCGAGGCGGGTGAGATTGACGACGAGTTGAACGGTAGTGGTTCGAGGGAGGGGTTTGGCTCGTGTGCGGTAACGCCAAAAGGTGGCCGTGTCGCGCGCAGGGCCAACGCGAGTCCGCTCCCGAGCCCCCACGCCGGCGCGTCGTTCGCAAGTCCGCTCCCGAGCCCCCACACCGGCGTGTCGCATGTGAGTCCGCTCGTGTCTCCGCACGCGGGCGTTGACCGCGTTGACTTATTTCAGCACTACCAGCACAACCGAAACCCTAGAGGATGGACCAGCCCGCACGTTTCGGCGCACTCAGGTCCGCTTGCGCCAACCCTAAACACGGTGGTGGCAGGGGCAGCGCAAACGAATCAAGCGCGCCGCCGCAGCATCGAGGTGCGAGATCGCGGTGAAATCTCCCGATCGTCGAATGAAAATTGCCTTAGGGAAACTCGAGGTGCAAGGAGTGGGAAACTGGAACCGACATATGCACTGGGCGGGTCACTGAGTGGTGCTTTGGGCGGGTCTGCGGAGCAGAGGCATCGACGTCAGCACTCCGCGAGCAGCAGCAGCAGCAGCAACAGGGCATTTCCGTCCGCTTTAGAGCATGGCTCATCGCCTACTGTAACATTTGTTTCTCCTTTTCAAAGGCATATAGCGTCAGTGGCTGAAGCTGAGCGGCTGGATCAGATTGCCTCAACTTAAGAAGCAGTGAAGACATGATACTGGTGTATTGCCAGAGGTGCTGCGGCAGTTTGACTCGGTAGTATAGTAATGCAAGCGCCCGCATCTCCAAATCACCCTGTCGTGACCAGTCTGCTGCCGCTAAGGGTCTCAAATGGGGTCCGTGCATTGCTCGGGCGAGCAGAACCGTTGCTGCTGTGCGCTGAACTGAACAGAGCAATTCAAGCACCCTCTCTCCTCCACGCCACCCTGCTTTCAAACTTGAAAGGTCGACAGAAGTAGTGATGGTGGGTGGAAGGTTGAGGTGCTGTGGGGAGGGGGGGATACTGAAAACCAGGTCATCCCTCACACTCTTTGAAGGTTGAGGTGCTGGGCCTTCACGAGTCTATGATGTTCAGGTCTGTGTAGCATGGTGTGAACTAGTTATTGTTTACGTATGAGGAAGTAGGATGTAGGGGTTCCAAACCTAAGACCCAGTATTGCAGTGTCCTTTTGGTAGACCACCCAGTATCCCTTCGGTATGTTGCTATGTTTTCCTATACCTTACACGTGATCACTCTTTTTTTAGGAGCAGATGACATTGTTGCAAAGAGGGAAAGGTGATACCAGTAGTACCATTTTCAGCTGGTGTAACCATGTACCCAAGTGTAAGCTTCACTGCACAGGTCTTGTGAAGAAACCCGATGAACTCTACCCCCTTGCATCGCGGACCACGTCATGCTGACTCAACCGCTAGTTCACTTTCTCGCCAAATATGCATTTTCCCACCTCACTCCTCACTCTCTCGTTACGAACACTTCTGGGCAGTTCTCATGTTTCTCGCTAACATTGGAACTGCTTAGAAGAACTTAGAGCGTGTCACACCTGCCCTATTTTCAAGGATCACGTAGACAAACACCATCACCCCAACCCCAGGTTTATGGGTGGTCAAACAACAAGTTTTTGAGGCACATGGCGAACCTTGTAGGTGTACCATCTGCAAATTTGAAGTGGTGATCCTCTGCGACGAGGCGACGTCGCCGGAAATTACACGACGTCGCGAGCATAGGAAATTTTGCATTGACCATTTTGACCGTGTTACAGACCGAGACGCAACCGCTTCATTGGCTCGAATTCCCTTTCTTCAGAACGTTTTGATTAGTTGAGACGGGTTACCACTGTGCAATACAATTGAGACAGTCTGTTTTTTCGTAAACAAGGATCACCCTCTGAGTGGTACAGAGATGCAAAGATCGCCGTGAGATTGGTAGTCACCACGATCTTTTCGAAAACGCAAAGATTGGGTAGCTTAGACTACTCACGATTTCGAATCTCCCTCTTTTTTTTTTTTTTTTTTTTTTTTTTGGTTGTAACTATATTATCAAAACATAGATACATCCGCAGTCGTAACTGTATTCTTGGAGGGCCTAGGCTGCGCTAACCGGAGCGTCGCACATCCCCCCTAAGGTAAACTACGGTGGCTGGTGAAAGGTGCGTGGGTTGCGCCAGATGGATAGAAAATGGGTCGTCCAGCATGTTGGCCCTTCCTCGTCGCAGATTCCCCGCAAAAGCTTCCTCTCGTCTGCCGCCATATGGCGCCACCTGTCCTCCCTCCAAACACTGCCCTCTTCACCTGCCACCACCACCTTTCCGCGTGATGCCACCACCACTCTCGCATGCGTCATGAAATCCAGCACCGCACCGCGCCCAACCTTCTTTCTTTCGAAAGGGGCCGCACGCCAAACCGCATTACATCGTGCCAGCCAAACCTGCCGGAGCACCGCAGCTGTCAGCGTCATTTCAGGGAAGCCAGACACCATGCCCCCTTCCTCGAACAGCAGGTCTCCCAGTGAGCTCACGGGCCTATCCGGATTCAGCATCTGTAAAGACCTCTTGAGCGCGCCGATGATCGGCTGTATGACTGGACAGTTGTAGAGGCAATGAGCTAGGGTTTCCTCCCCCCCACAGTGTGCGCAGCTGATTCCGTTCTGGAAGAAATCCAGCCTTCCCCCCACCTGCAAGTTCATGCTGTGCACCCTGAGGAGCACATCCCTCGCCTTGAGGGAGACACAGATCGAGTCACGGGTTTCGATAGCCCGTTTCCAGTCGATCTTCTTGCCCCACACATCCTCCCATTCTGCCTGCCTCCAGGAGCGTCCCGTTGATTTAGTGAGCCCAGCCCGTATCCTGCGTAACGGCGCCAGCTCCTCCCCCACGAAAAGCTCGGGCTTGACTAGAAGCTTTGTTTTCGGGGCGCCCACCGGCCCCACCATCCTGCTCCCCTGTATCACCATCGGCTGAAGTCTGCACGCCTCGAAGCAAGTCTCCCTCGCCCTCGCTTGTGACTCCAACCTTCCATCCTCGTTGAGCGACATGGCGGAGGCGACAACTTTTGATGCTACAACTCCCTTCACCGCCCATGGGACCTTGGTTGGTTGACCCTGAAGGATGTACCTCACTACTCCTGATGCTGCCACCACCTCTTCTGCCGACACCGGCTCCTCTACCATCTTTTTCCACTCCGGAGGCATAGCCCCGTAGGCTTTCCGTGCCATAACCGCCGCCTCTTTGCTCCCAAGTTCTATCATCAGAAACACCTCCTCTTTCAAACACCTCCGTCCTCCTGCGTCATTCGTGAGCAGGTCTCTTACGCGCGTAGTGAGAAGGGCCGCCGTGCCTAGCTGATGCCCAAAAGGACTGTCCCCCCTGTGCATGATGTTTTTGTTGAAACAGATAAACTCCTCCTCCACCTCCCATCTATTCGCAGGTGCCGGCGACGACGATAGCGGCGATTTCCAGAAAACTTTCACCGCCGCCTTCCATCTCTCACTCCCTTCCTGCCAGTGCTTCCCCGCAGATGGGTGTGCGAGCAGAGTAGCCCAGCCTTGCGGGAAACCCGCCGCCTTCTCCGCCAGCCACCGGCGCGTGCCCTCCGGCTCGCCGAGCAACTTGCCAATTCTGCGTATCGCCAAACCGTCGAGGCAGAGCTTTGGGTCCAGCTGCCCCAGACCACCGTCCTTCCGCGGGAGACACGCCAGATACGCACTCCAGAGGATAAAGATTTTCTCCTCCACCGCTTCCCCCGCCGAGACAAACGCATGGCATAGTTTCCTGATTTTCTCCCACAAATCCTCCGGTGGTGAGTACACCTGCGCCTGGAACATTAGAACCGGCAGGACGTAGCAACTGATGACCGCTACCCTTGCCGTCGTCGTGAGGTACTGCGCTTCCCATTTTCTTAACTCTTCTTTTATCCTTTCGTATGCCTTCCTCCAGGACGGATCAGCAACACCGCTGGGCGTGATCCACACCCCCAGGAGCCGTTCCGGCTCTTCCCGCTCAGACCATTTGTATGGGATGCCTGCCGGCACCGGCACACCTCTGTTGCGGCCAAGCGGCACTACCCCCGACTTGTCACAGTTCACCTTCAGCCCCGACTGCTTGCCAAAAAATTCCAAAACCTCCACCGCCCTCCGCAGCTGCTCTTCTCCGCTTAGAAGGAAGGACGTGTCGTCGGCATAGCCCACATACGAGAGTGGCGCATGCCCGGGTGGCCCGATTCCCGATTCCTTACGCTGCGTAGCTCTGCAGAGCGGCTCCAGCGCGCAGAGAAAGAGGTAAGGTGCCAGAGGACACCCCTGCCTGACCCCTCTATTCATTTCCACCCTTTCGCTCAGCCACCCATTAATGATAATCTTGGTTCCTGCCTCTGCATGCAGGCCCATGGTCCAACTGATGAACGTCTCCGGTACCCCCAGCTCTTTCATTACCCTGAAGAGGAAAGGCCGCGAGACCGTATCGTAGGCCTTCTGGAAGTCGACCAACAGCAGCAGCCAATCTTCGTTACCGCTGTTCGCAGCTTCCACCGCATCTGCGACCACCGAAACTGCGTCCGCCAGACTTTTCCCCGGTAAGAAACCGTGCTGTTCCCTTGACAGCACCTTGCCCAGCACCTTTTTAAGTCGTGAGGCCATAACCTTCGTGATCAATTTGTACATGACTGACAGCAGCGTGATGGGACGGTAGTTCCCCAGTTGGTCCGTCGCCCCCTTCTTGTGCAGCAGCACCGTAACGGAGGTTGAGAGGCTCTCCGGCATCTCCCCCGTCCTTGCAAAGTTATTGACAAAACCCATCACATGCTCCTTCAGCATATCCCAGTGCAGGATGAAGTATTCCGCCGGCAGCCCGTCCTGCCCAGGGGACTTTCCCTTTGGGAGACTCTCCAGCGCTTCCTTGACCTCGAATCTCCCTCTGTTGGTACAGCACCTGGTACAGTAATCACTGTACAGTGGTGGGTAAGGCACTGTTCTTCAAGGATCGCCGAGACGATCCTTGATTTTTTCGCCATCTTCACCAAGGTGTACCACGCTGAGCTGGTTTTCTCGCTCATCCATGTAACCCTGCTACTGATTGTTCAGCAACGTTTGTTTCGACGAAGTTTGCGGATATTTCGCTCAGACAGGGGTTCATTCGAAAACAGCACAAAATAGTGGAGAAACAGTGAATGCGATCTTGCGACTTGACGGCCTTTCTCAACAGTAGATAATTACACAAGAACCCCACCAGCTTGGCTGAGATTGTACCAAAGGACAGCCACAAAAAATGGGTAGTGGCCACAAAATAGAATTAGTCACGGAGTGGGCAGTCTGTACATTCTTTTTATTGATCACCTGGAAACGAAATTCGGCAACATATTTCCATCGGGCTATTTAGCTGTGGATAAATCGATAGTTTCCGCGTTACAGTTCAGCGCATTTCTAAATCCATTCTTATTCGCGAAGCGGAGGACAATGCTGCCATTGCCTAGACTTCCAGCTGTCCCCTCACCTACAATTCTGAGTCGCTTGTCGTTTTGTACTCAAATAAGGGCGGGGCGTGGCGTGGCGTCCCTTGCTGGCGTGTCAAAAAGCACGTCTTTTTGTGCCACTGGATAAAGGGACAATTGTCGCACGTAGGGTGGGTGGTGGTGGTCGGATGGGATGGGATGGAATGGGATGAAAAGGGATGGGATGGGATGTCGTGGGATGTGATGGGATGATTTGGATCCATCTACTCGTCCATTCCATCCTCCCTCCATTCGTCCCTCCCCCGCCCCGCCATCCTTCGCTCTCCTCCCGTCCCGACTCCCGGACTCCCGAGTCCCGACCCGAGTCACCATCCTCTCGCTGAAATCCCCCAGTCACCATCCCGTCCAAATCTCCAATCTCGATTCTCGTCTCGATGCTGGTTTGGATCGGATGGGTTGCACTCACTTGCGTTGCGTGCCTCACTTGCGTTGCGTGCCCTCTTTCACCCGTTGCTGGTGAGGTACCCCTGCTATCGAACAGGGCCTTCGAGACGACGAGACCATCCAACGGAATTTCTTATGCATTTACGAGGACCATGGCGGCAACTAGAGACCTGTGTTCTGACTGACCGCGTGTGTCGCGAATCTGACCAGATGTCCGTCCGTACCTACAACGTTCAAAATATCAGCAGCCATCTCGTGAAGAATATGTAAATCTACAGATCTCCAATTCCCAGCTCGAAGTAGAACCTTGTGAAACGTTTGTAACCTCTGCTCCGACTCCTCAATACGAACATTCAAACGTCTTCTCACGAGTCCTCGCGTGCTCCCAGCAGCGACAGTTTCTAGAGATTCTACAAGCCTTCCACCAGCTGCCAGCTGGCCACGATCGTACCCACAGTGAGATGTCGTAAGAGGAATAGGATGTCAAAGACTACATCTTACGGGTGTTCTCCGGGTTTTGCGGAGTATTCTTTCACGACGACCGGGCTTTGCGAATCTTCCCCGCGATTTCGCAGAACGGAGAGCCGCCGCGAGCGCCAACAGCGGCGGTTCGAGGAGCGCCTCGCGATCTTCCACGCCCTCGCGACGTGCGCTGACGCACCCGCCAAAGCGTCTTCTTTGTGTTCCAAAGAAGACTTAAATAGGCCAGAATCGCGTTCATCTGGTCCGTCATTTCCGTTAGACTCGTACTCGCTTGAGTCGCACCCGAGATTGCTCCAGCACCACCCAAGGAATGGCTTCGCGAGCAGATTCGATTCCGCACCCTTCGGCCGCAGCGGGCGGCGCGAGCCGAGCGATTGCGGGCACGCGGCAGATGCGATACGTGACCCTACGAATGCGGGAGAATCGAGGGAATCCCGCGCCGAGCCGACAACGGTAAAACTGCGAGCGCCACCATCGGCGGAAAGGCCTCTGACAGCCGGCGGAGCAGGACCGCCGATCGCGGCGGAAGATCTGCAGTGGGCGTGGCGGCTGCTAATGGTAGGGGGATACGCGCGGCCGCTTGTCTCGGATTTCGTAAGCGCGGCCAACGCGCAAGCCGTGCCACGCTCCCGCTCCGGGGAACGCGGGAATGCGGGTACTCAGCGGTGCACGTCGGCGGCGGAAAAAACCGGGAATGCAGGTGAACGGTGGGGGGGTCTGCAGGGGATGGGGGAGAAGGAGGCGGAAGGGCGGGACGGGAGATTTGCGGGTGGCGCGGGAGCGGAGAGGAAATCTGTCGGTTTGCGCCAAGTTGGCGGAAGCCGCACGTGGGCCGTTCCGCCCCCTCACGGAAATGAGCAGCAACAGTTGACGGCGGCGCAGCGGCGACAGCAGGTAAGGCGGAGTCAATGGCTGCTGCGCTGGCTGCAGCAGCAGCAGGAGCAGCAACAGCTGCACCAACACCAGAAGCAGCAGCAGCAGCCGTCATGCGGCTCATCTGAGCAGGAAACGCACGCCTTCCCCCTTTCGGCTGCGGAACTGCGCGGCGACGGCACCGGCGATCTCGGAGACGCGGGGCACGCGGGGGACGCGGGGGACGCGGGGGTTTCCGCGCGCCTGGGGCGCTTGTCCTTGAGCTCCGCGTCTTCGGCGGAGCGGAGACCTTTCCGCCAGCTCTCCCCCTTCGAAGCCACGTCACGCGGCTGCGCGCCTTTGGTGGAGAGGTGGGAGCGGGAGCAGGGGGACGAAGCGCGACGGATTGCGGCGCCGGGTGATGCAGACGGGAGCGCGGACGCGGATGCAGATGCGGATGCGCGAAGGAGAGTGGAAGATTGGTTCCGCGGGTACACGGATGCCAACGTCTCCGCGGGAGCAGATGTTGCGGACGCGTCCGCGCAAGGAACTGATCGCGGAGACTGCGCCGATTCCGTGGCGGAAATCGCCGCTTGTGCTAATCCCCGCCCGGTTCCGCGGAAGCATTTCCCCAGTCCGCTGGGGCGCGCGTGGAGCGCACGCGAGGCGGGGGAGCGCGTCCTGCTGCGCCCTGCTCGCGGGTGTCACGCGCATTGCGACGCGGCGGAGTGGGGAGGACAAACGGCCGGAGGCTGCTGCGAAAAGACTGGGCCAACACCCGTCCCGCGTTATTATCACAACGGTGGTTCGTTCGAGGACGGTGGTACATATGCCCCTCGTTATAATCGCGGTCACGGCACTCAGAGGTCCGTCCAGCGGTCGCGATCTCTCCAGGAGAGGCGCGGAGGCGTGGCGTCACGACACGATTTCCCGGGGTGGCAAGACGGAGTTTTCCCGAAAAGAGGGACAAGTTGTGGGTTGCCCGAAAACCTAGGTGGCGGTGTAGTTACCCGCAAGGCGGGGTACACCCAGGCTTTTGGGGGAGGAGGGAGCATTTTCGGAGGAGGAGGAGGAGGGAGCATTTTCGGAGGAGGAGGAGGAGGAGGAGGAGGAGGAGGAGGAGGAGGAGGAGGAGGAGGAGGAGGAGGAGGAGGAGGAGGAGGAGGAGGAGGAGGAGGGAGCATTTTCGGAGAGATGACTTTTGGGGACCAACAGAGTTCCCAAGGTTTTGACTCCGGATCGCAGGCGCCTCAGAAATTGTATCCTGGCCCGGATGTGAAACCGAAAACGCCATCGCATCGACATGGCAGCCTGTCATTTTCCGAGTGGGTCGGGGCGAAAAGCAGTTCTTCAGCCAATGGGTTGAGGACACGTGGCAGGGGGCATCAGGTGGGTGGATCTGCTGGTTCTGAGGCTGACGTGGCACCTGCTGTGGTTACATTTGCGGCAACAACAGATGTGGCGAGCGCAGCAGCAGGCGGGGCTACAAATGTGGCTACACCCATGGAGATAATTCCATCCAACCATGTGGTTGTAACTGTTGATGCTTCAGATGTAACGACTGCTCCCGCCGCTCCAGATGTAACGGCTGCTCCCTCCGTTCCAGATGTAACCGCTGCTCCCGACGATACAGATGTAACAGTTGCGTCCACCACGACACCCACAACGGCCGCTGCCGATGCTGGACATGTAACAGCTGCTCCCACCACTACAGACATAGAGGTTGCCGTCGGCACTACAGATGTAGCGGCTGCTGCTTCTTCTGACACTACACACGCAATAGCTGCATTCAATAAAGGCAGCACTGCCACTGGGGCTTCAGATGTACAGACAACAAGGCGAGACGTAACCAAAGATGTAACCGAAGATGTAACCGAAGACGTAACAGCTGTGTGCAGGCAGCTGAGCGGTGCTGATTGTTCTTCTGAGGCTTGCCAGCCTATGTGCGGGGAGATTGTTCTTGCCGAGCCTAGGTCTGAGTCAGCTCTGGAATCTCCCGAGGCTTGCCGACCAATTTTCCAGGGGAATATTTCTGTGGAGCCTCGAGTCCTGAAATCTGGTGAAGAGCAGGGAAAATCATGTGAGGTGCCAGAGGGATTGAGGCATGGTGAAGAGCAGGGGAAGGACCATCACTCTCGGTGCCCCTCCTTCTCCCTCTGGGTGTCCCCCACCCCTCGCCTCCCCCCTCCATCCTCTCCCCTCATCTCCCCCCTCTTCGCGCCCTCTACTGTTTTCTCAAACTCCACTGTGTTCACTCCACTCACCACTCATCCCTCCCACCCACTCGCCTCATCACCCCGTCCTCTCACCAACACTCTTTTTTTGGCTCTGACCTCCTGAAGGTCACCTGAGAGGCACCTGAAGGGCACCTAAAGGTCAGGCCACCTGAAGGCCACCTGAAGGCCACCTGAATGTCAACTGAACGCCACCTGAAGGCCACCTGAAGGCCATCTGAAGGCCACCTGAAGGCCACCTGAGAGCTATGAGAGATTTGAAGCTTCCTTTCCTCTTGACATACAGGTTGTTTTGTTATTCTTTGATTTGTTGTTTTGGCGCTCCTGTAATGAAAGCGTGCTAATCCCTCTTCCGAGTGCTGTACAATAGCATCCAGAATATACAGATCGGTTTGTTACAGATGTCTTCAAGAATATTTGTGTGTTACAGAGCAAAAAGCCATTGCACGAGAACCTACGGTATAATCCTGCTTGTGGAAAGTCGGCGACCCCAACAGACCCACTACTCACGAGTCAGGAGAATTCCTCCAGCCGGCACCAGGCAAAGCAGCAAGGACCGACACCAGCACTGCAAGGTTCACCACATCAGGCGGTTCTAGCGCCCTCCCTGACCCCCATGCCATCCCTGCTGCCTGCCCCGTGCTGCTGCTGGTAGCGGTGGTACCGGTACCGGTGATGCTGGTGCTGCCGCTGCTGTGACAGTTACACGAACAATTGCAGTTGACGTTGCTGGTTTTAATACCGTCACTACAGCTGCTCTCCTCCCTGTTTGACAACCAGGGAGAGTCCGAAGTGCTCTTGCTGCGGCCTGCGAGGCGCTTAGCTAAGTGCTTCTTAAGTGTCGCAGGCTCCTCCCGCTCCCAGGGCAGAGTGAGAATCGGTGGATGGGGCAGCGCTGGAGACACAGGGCTGTGCAGTGCCCCGTTATAAGCAGGGCTAAGAATAGCGCCGTTATCAGCAGCACTAAGAGCAGCTTCACTATAAGCTGCTTCAGTTGCACCAGCGGCAGGAGCAGCAGCAGAAGCAGCAGCAGCAGCAGCTGCTGCTGCTGTCGTGGCTGCATGAGACGCAGAAAACACAGGAGATGCAGCGGACGCAGGAGACACAGGAGGGGAGGCAGGGTGGGGAAGAGGGGCAGGGAGGGAGGCCTTGGCAGCAGCAAGAGCAGCAGCAGCGGAGGCGGAGTGAGCAGCCACTTGTGCGGCCGCTGCTGCAGCAGCTGCCCTTGGGTGCGTGTAAATCGCATCGGTCTCCTCGTCCCCATGTATAATCAACAGTGCTGGTGTTGGTGGTGCTGATGCTGGTGGTGCTGATGCTGGTGTTGCTGCTGCTGCTGCTGCCGCTGCCCTTGGGTGTGTGTAGATCGCATCGGTCTCCTCGTCCCCATGAATAATCAACATGTCCGGCCTGTGCTGCTGCTGCTGCTGCGACTGCTGCTGTATCTGTTGTTTCACCTGAAACATCTGCGGTATCACCTGAGGCTGCGCCTGAGCCTGCCGTTGCTGCTGGTGGCCTGGGTGCCAGTCCAGAGTCTGGCTTCTCCTGAGCGCCCTCCCACTCATGCCTCTCACTGCAACACTGCCTCTGCTCCCTGCATTCCCTCTTGCCCCCATACTCCCTGTGCTTCCCGTTCCCTCCTCGCTCTCGTTGCCCTCCCTGCCCTCCTTGCTCGCAGTTCTTTCGTTGCTCTCCCTGCTCCCCCTCCTCTCCGGCTCAACGGCACGTGAGCTACTCTGAACGTTGCTCTGTGTCCGCCAGAGTGGGCTTCCCCCAGACGCTGCCTTCCCAGCAAACATGGTCTGCTCAGACCCTGCCTTTGCAACTGCACCAGCGGCAGCAGCAGTTGCGGCAGCAGCAGTGGCGGCAGCGGGGGTGGTGGCAACACCAGCAGTGGCAGCAACAGCAGCGGCAGCAGCAGCAGCAGCAGCAACAGCAGGTTTGGCTGTTTCAGCAGCGATACAGGCGAGGTAGCGGGGAGGAGGGGAGAAGGGGCGGGCACAGCGCGACAGGGGTCGGGCGTGGTGGGTGGTGGTAGTGATGGGTGCAGAGGGATGGAGGGGGTTGGAGGCGAGAGAGGAGGCAGAGGAGGAGGAGAGGGAACGAGAAAAGGAAGGGGAGGATGATAGTGATGATGCTGGTGATGATGGTGATGCTGGTGATGGGGCAGTGGGAGTGTGGGAGTATGGAGGAGAATGGGAGAATGTAGGAGTGATGGGGGAGCGAGGGAAGAAAACTGGGGAGGATGAAGGGCGAGCGGTGGCACTGGCATTGCTGCTGCTGCGTCTCAGCCCCCCTGCTGCCAGTTTTTCACCACATACTGAACCTTCTCGCGCCGAACCACCAAGTGCCAAACCATCCCGTGCCGAACCAACACCTGCCGAACCATTTCGTGCCGAACCACCTTGTACGAGGAAGATAGAGCCCTCCTTACAGTCACCTGCAGTCACATCAGCCCCATGGGAGTCTAGGTCAAAATCTGGGGTGCTTGGTGATAGGGAAGAGGAGGAGGAGAAAGAGGGAGACGAGGAGGGAGAGAAAGAGAAGGAGGAGAGGGAGGCAATGGGGGCGGATGCCTGGCGTCTCAGTGACTGGCCTGCAGAGGGGGCTGATGCTCGGCTGCTCTCTAGGCCCGCCCTCTTGCTCCCAGGGGCAATTTTCTTGCCGTCTGCAGCTGTTCTGAAGCCTCTCATGTGAGCAGGTGATGGGGAGAGAGGCGGCTTGGAGGCAGAAGCAGGACGGGAGGACGGCAGTGGTGCTGCCGCTGCTGCTGTTGGTGCTGCTTCTGCTGCTGCTGCCGCTGGTGCTGCTGATGGTGGTGGCGCTGCTGCTGTTACTTCTGATGCTGGTGCTGATGGTGCTGCTGCGGGTGCTGCTGCTACATCTGCTAGCCCTGCATGAGATGTCAGCTGACAGTTCTCCTGAGAATTCTCCTGAGTATGTACCTGAGAAAGCTCCTGGGGATTCACCTGAAAAGGCACCTGGGTTTGCACCTGAGGATCAACCTGTAGGGTGGCAGGCGGCCCTGAGGTGCGCCTGAGAGGAGATGGCTTGTGGCGGTCGGCAAGGGCAGGGGACGTGAGAGGGCGGGATGGGAAGGGACGAGGAGAGAGAGGAGAGCGAGGAGAGCGAGGGGAGGAGGGAGTGTGAGGAGTACGGGACATGCTTGGACGAGGGGAGGGGAAGAGAGGAACGGAAGAGGAAGGAGAGGGGGGAGGCAAGGGAGGCAAGGGAGGAAGGGAGGAGGGAGAGGGAGAGGGAGAGGGAGAGGGTGAGGAAGGGGAAGGGAAGGAAGAGAGGGAGGAAGTGGGTACGGATATTTGTTTACGGAGGAAGCGGGCACGTGGCTTGGGAGTGGTGGGTGGCAGGCCGGACGAAGGCTTGGGAGAGGCATTGTTCTGCAAGGCTTGTGTTGAAGAGGCTTGTAACGAATGGGCTTGTAACGAATGGGCTTGTAACGAGGGTACTTGCGACGCAGACGATTGTAACGAAGGGGCTTCTAACGAAGATTCTTTCAATGAAGGTTGGTTAGGGTAGCCTGTGCAGTGGTGGGCAGCTGAAGAGGAGGGAGGGCTGGAGGAGTGGCATGCAGGAGAGAGGCGGGGAGGGGCGGGGGAAGCGAGAGGGTAAAGGTCTTTCAGATGTGGGGGAGATGGGGACGTGAGAGGCAGGCTCTGATGATCGTGGTGAGATGAGTGGCTGTGGGGATGGGGATGCATGGGGGAGGGGCGTGTTGAGGAGACTTGACTGGATGAATGTTTTGAGAAGTGCCGTGAGGGAAGCACCTCGGTCTTGGATCGCTGGAGCGGTGGAGGAAAGGAGAATGGGGACGATGGGGAGGAGACGGATGGAGAGGAGGATGAGGACGGGAAGGGGCGGAGATTGGGCAAGGCGGAAAGGGGCGATGGGTGGGGAGGGGGTTTGGAAGCGGATGGGGAGAAAGAAGGGGAGAAGGAAGGGGAGAAGGAGGGGGAGGAGGACGCGGAGTGGGAAGAGGAGGAAGGGGAGGAGAGGCTGGAAAGTTTAAGCTTGGGTCCTCGGAAGGGCGGTGCTGAGGGTGGTGCTGAGGGTGGTAAGTCATCTACCATCCTCCACAGACCTGCTTCCTTTGTCGCACTCTCTGTCTCCTCTCTGTCACTCCCCTCTCCCTCCATCCCCCCCTCATCTGAACACCCTTCATCCCCTGCCAGGAACCGGAAGCTAGCCTCGACCGTATCGCTCCCCCTGCTAATTGCAGCACCATCCCTGTTCGCTCTCCATCCCCCCTCCGCCACTCCCATTTCTTTCCCCCACCCAGCCTCCCCAGTCTCCCCCTTTTCTCCCCCCTCCTCCACCTCTTCCGCCAGCCCCGCCCCCTCCCCTGCCTCCTCCGCCTCCTCCTCCAGCTTCCCAGTATCCGCCGCTCCGTCCAGCGCATCTGTCCCCCCAATCCCCGCCTGCGCCTCCCTCGCGTGTCTTCCATCCCCTCCAACCTTTTTGCCATGTCGCGTACCATCTTCCCCAGATGCACTTTCCCGGAGTCCTCCTTCCCGTGATCCGACTTTTCCCCTGGTACGTTCCTCCTCCGCGCGGGCGGCTTTAGCCCTTCCGACTCCCGCCAATTTTCCTGCGCGTGCCGAATCTCCCCTCCCCTTGCCTCTCCGCCCCTCCCCAACTCCCCCCTCCGTCTTTCTTCCTTCCCCTGCGCTCTTCCCGTGCCACCTCTCTCCTTTTTCGAACGCGTTACAAAGCACATCGCTAGGAGCCACGTCCGTTTCGCCAAAAGACACCCCACTCTGCTCCCCGCGATTTTTGTTTTCAATAACCCCAGTATTCTCAACTCTACCCTCGACTTTCAGTCCCGTGAAACTAAACACGCTTCCTTCGTCGCTGCTGCCCCCGCTGCTACTCCTACTGAAATGGGATTTTCTGTTGCTACCACCAGCTTCGACGCAGATGTCGGATACGCTATTAGCGAGGATGCTGCCATCGCCACCGCTCTTCGATCGGCTCTCGCGACTGGCGACGTGGCTCGAGTCGCTGCTTCTGCTACTGGCACTTCGGCTACTGTCACATCTGCTGCCGTCGCTGCGTCTACTATCACTCCCGACGCCGTCGCTTCGGCTAGTGTTGCTACGGCTGCTGGTAACCCCGTCACGCCTACTTCGTGAACCATCGCTGTCACCTCCGCTGCTCTCACTTCGCGAACTATCACTCCTCGTGCTGCTTCCAGTTCTCCTGCTATCACTTCTCGTATTTTCACTCCTACTGCTGCCACCCCGCGTACTATCACTCCTTGTACTATCACTTCTCGTACTATCACTGCTACCACTCCGCGTGCTATCACTCCGCATACTATCTCGTCGCTCGCTGCTGATGCTGTTTCTCCTGCTACTGCCGCCTACACTTCTGGAACTAACGAGACTGTTACGTTCGGCAGTCCTCATGTCAGACGAAGATGACGTGGGAGAGGAGACGGTTGACGTGGACGGTGACGTGGAGGAGGGGGAGGTCGGGGTCGAATCGTCGTTACTATTCGACATAGAGAAACGCATCACAACGTAGTTGCCGGACGGAGGTCGGATGAGAGGAACCGGAGCGGCGGCGCCGGCGCCGGAAGCGGAGGGGGTGGAAGTGAAGGTTACGGTTGCCGTAGTGCTAATAACGGGAGTGCTAGTAACGGGATTGCTCGAAGCGGAAGTAGTAACACGCTGGTTATCGGAATCGAGCCTAACCTCAGATCTGGCCGGACACGTGGCAAGCCCATCACTACGACACGAGGCAACCCCTTCAGCGCCGCGAGATGGCTCGTCGTTACGGTCCGACGGCGCGGTGCGATTGCTCGGGGATGACGTGGCATCGTCGACCGCTTCTCCAGGCGATTTCGCGGATGCGGGCGAGTCGCCATCGTCGCCCATCCAGTCAGCGTCGCTCAACCCTAGGTCTTCAAAGTCAAACGAGTCCGTCGTCGCCTGCATGCCGCCGCGGCTCGGCCAGCACGACGGATGCTGCTGCTGGAACGCCGCCGCGCGGCGCAGAGCGGAGAGCTGCGCGCGAGTTGGCGCGAGCGACCCGGAAGCACCACGACTCAGCGCGCCCGATGATGCGCCGCGGGTCAGCCCACCGGATGACGAGCCGCGGGTGGGCGTGAGGGAGATGGCGCGAGTTAGCGCGGAGAAAGGCCGGGAGGTTGCGGGGGGGGAAGAAGGGGAAAGGGGGGAAAGGGGAAGCGTGGGAGAAGGGGAAAGGGGGGAAGGGGGAAGCGGCGGAGAAGGGGAGACTGGCGAATGTGGATTGGGCGGCTCTTTGCTGCCAGTACCGCCGGTGCGGCCCGTACGGCTGTGTATCCGCGGCTCGGCAGCATCCTTACTCGTGTCACTGTCCTTCGAGTAGCCGTCAGCGACAATCGCGGCGCGAGTCTCGCTCGTGGGGGAGTCGGAAGGGGACTCTCCAGCTTCGGATTGGGCAGTCGACAGGTCCGGCAAACGACCGAACCTGGAACGATAACGTCCGGAGCTGCGCGTGGATGGCGGCGCATCTAGCGCCGCGAATTGCGCGGGTGAATTGGATCCCGAGCCTGACGTTGTACCCCTGTTTATCAAGCCGTTGGCCACTGTTCGCGGCTCGTCCGCGTCTGAACAGTCGCGCGACTCGTCGGAAGTACTAGCTTGAAAGGACCCGTTACTCGAAGCATCCCGTTTCGTACTTAAAGCCGCATCCCTTCGCGACGGAAGCGACGACGCTCGAGCGAGAGTGTTCCAGACGCGGCTACGCACGCTCGTCTTAAAGCCCAGCATACTCCCGCTTCGACTGCCCCCGTCCCCCAGCTGCCCGCCGAACTGCCCGCTGGGCAGAAAATTGAGGCCCGCGGCGAGTCTCGCACGTCTACTGACATACTCTCCGTTTAAGTTAGTAGCAGCCCTGTTCGTAAAACCACCGCTTTCAGTGCCATTTATTCCAGTCCCGCTGTTTGCGTCCTTCGTGCTCATACCAGCGCCTGCCGCGCTGCCGTTGCCGCCGGTTCTGCTGACCGTTCGTCTTTCTCTGGTGAATCCTTCCGTGTCGCTGGCCGCGCATCGTCGCACGGCAGGTCGCACGTCGCCACGGGCTCGTCGCCCGAGGCCAATGTCGTCACATGACTCGCCTCCAGCGCTGGGCGCGGAATCGGTCACTCCCGCACCTTCATTCCCACTGGCGGCCTTTGAAGCGTACCCCTTGGTTATTAGATTCCTTCCTAATGGCGACGACGCTGACGTGGCAGGTGGCTCGTCGAGCCGCGCGGGGCTGCGGTAAATCCAGAGCTCGTCCATCGAGTCGATTGATGTCGCCATTCAGCTTAGTTCTCTACGATGCTGACGTGGTGCAAGCTAGATAATAAGCCTGTGCGTCCTGTGTGACGTGGCACTTTAAGATCGTTCCTGAAAGCCGTGAGTCCAATTTCTACCTCGTAACATAAATCTAAACAGCTGCTTCGCCGATTGTCGTACCGCCACCACCAAGACGAATTTTGTACGAAGGGAATGGTATTTCATAAGGCGAGTGCGTCGGTAGACATGGTTCGACCTAGGGTCTTGCTACTCACTGCCTTGTGGCCTTGTCTAACGCACTGAGCAGCTCTGGGCAATTGTCATTTCGGTTGTTACGGGCGGCGCCTGTAGGCTGTGTCTGAATTGTTTCCTTGGTGCGGTGCGGTATGATATGGTGCGTGGGAGGAAGGATGGAAGATGATCAACCATCGATGAATTGGGTTGGGGGAGGGCATCCTATCCATTCATCCAACTCAGTCGTGATGGACATCCGAGTGGCGGAAATGGAATCGGCTCGGCTGCCCCACGGGCCTTTTGGGAAGTCCCTGCCCGAGCGATCCGGTCCGGGCATATGAAAGGGTTGCACCTCCTGCCAATTGCAAGTGGTTGCAATGCAAAGGTGCAAGCAACTGCCGATGTGGTGGAGGGGGTTGCCCGTTTCGATCAGTTTTGATATTTTTCCTGGTTCCCATCTCGTCGCCTTTGCCTTGTGTTGTGGGGCATGCATGTACACAAAAACACAAAACAAGAAGGAACCCTTCTCCCGAACTGTACACTCCCATGTGCGCTGTCCTCATGTGAACTGGTGCTAGTGGTTAGGAGTGTTTTCAAATGGGTTGGAATCGGCGGGTGGGTTGGAGACTAGGTTGGTGCACTGCAGCAAAACCTATGGCGAAGAATTGTGGAGCCGCGCGAGGTGCCTTCTAGCGTCAGGGTGAGACGAGTGTCGGCTGTTTATGCATCGCAACAACTGTCCAAGCGTTTCTTCCACTCCGTACAGGAAGCCAAGGAAGGACCAGTTACGTAACGGCAAGCTAGAACCGCTGTAGTACTCGTTCGCTAAGCCAACTACGAACCTGATAAGTGAATATAAGCAGCATGAAAAATACCACATTTAGATACAAGTATACGTGACGTGCTAGCGTGAAATCTGATATGCCAAACACAAAAAACAAAAACAAAATGAAAACAAAAAACGCACACACACACACACACACACACACACACACACACACACACACACACACACACACACACACACACACACACACACACACACACACACACACACACACACACACACACACACACACACACACACACACACACACACACACACACACACACACACACACACACACACACACACACACACACACACACACACACACACACACACACACACACACACACACACACACACACACACACACACACACACACACACACACACACACACACACACACACACACACACACACACACACACACACACACACACACACACACACACACACACACACACACACACATGGGTGTACGGCATTATGCACCGTAAATATATTCCCAATGACCCGTTGTTTCCGTACGGAACTGCTAAACAATCATTCATTAAATAACAAAGCCCAAACACGAAGCATTGTTAGAATCTGTTGCGATCAGAAGTTGATCGTGCCTAGGATCACCTCAGGAAGGTTCGCACACGTTTGAGTAGTGGTGGTGGGCCCTTGACATCAATAGCAGGGTGAATGTAAAATGCTTGAGATAATAAAAACATGCAAGTACAGGAATATAAATAAGAGTACAAGGGAATTCGAATCGACCTAGTCTAGCCATGTACTCTAAGGGGTACATTCCCTTATTGCAGCGAAAAACAACCGTGTGACTCCAGACGGTTCCAAACTCCCTGGGCCGAATCCTCGCCACTGCTGCTGCCTGATGCTGTCTGCCCGACGGTCCAGATGCCTTCGTAACCATACGACCCTTCGCGTCACTTCCGTCCTTTCGTCTTCATTCTCGGTAGTGCGTGCTTCGATTGTTGCGGTGAGGAGTGCACAGTGATGCTTCAATAATTACTATTCGTAACACCCCCTTCACACCTGGCCGTAGCGAGTCTTGGCCCGCTTGACTATTCCACTGAGTTCGGAGCAGTGTTGGTACTGCTGACGTGACAGCTTCTTCGTGAGGAAGTCAGCTGCCATGTCACCCGTCGGGCAGTAGGTTAGGTCAACCTTGCCCTTGTCAACTTTGTAAAGGACGAAAGTATCCCTTGTCAGTACGCGCCATGTGTTTGGTGCGGTTGACGAATCCAGGCTTGTTCGCGATCCTGATCGCGCTCTGATTGTCGCAGTGCAGGCGAAAGTTCGCCGAGGCTGGAATTTTCGCCTCCTGCAGCAGCTCCTGAAGATAAAGGCCTTCGCGAACGGCTGCTGTTGCTGCGATGAATTCAGCTTCCGCCGATGACAGGGCAACCAGCTCCTGCTTCTGTG